ACCAACGCGAGTTGAGAGAACAAATTCTTTCCAAACACCTGGAATTTCCTGACCTGTCGCACCGGCAGTTGGGAAAAATGTTGAACATTCACCATTCAACCGTCTCCAGAGTGTTGAAGCGGTTCCAGGAGCGGTTGACGTTGGACCACGGCAAAGGAGCTGGAAGAAAACCGGGACCGGAGAACAAAAAGACGGAGGGAAAGGTGAAGCGGATGATTAAAGCAAATCCCAACGTCTCAAGCCGTGATTTGGCTAAAAAGATCGGCATGTCGCAGAGCTACGTCCAGAATGCAAAGAAGAGAGCTGGACTTCATACATACAAGGTACAGAACTTCCCAAACCGTGATGAGCGGCAACAATCGACGGCTAAAACTCGGGCACGGAAGCTCTACGAGAAGATGCTGACAAAATATGGCTGCTGTGTGATGGACGACGAAACGTATATAAAAGCCGATTTTAAGCAAATTCCGGGGTTGGAGTTTTTCACCGGCAAGAGCAAGTTCGATGTGGACGACAAATTTAAGAAGAAGAAAATGTCGAAGTTCGCCTCCAAATATCTCATTTGGCAGGCCATCTGCTCTTGCGGACTGAGGAGTGAGCCTTTCGTGACAAAGGGCACAGTAAATGGCGAGATCTACAAATCTGAGTGCATCGAGAAGCGCCTTTTGCCGTTCTTGCAGCAGCACGACGAAGCTCCGCTATTTTGGCCAGATTTGGCATCATGCCACTATTCTAAAAGTGTCCTGGAGTGGTATGAGGCCAATTCTGTCCATTTTGTTTCAAAGGACATGAATCCGCCAAACTGTCCGGAGCTGCGCCCGGTGGAGCAGTACTGGGCAATAATGAAGCGGGAACTTCGGAAGAGCAAGAAGACAGTCAAAGACGAGAAGGACATGTTAAGAAAATGGAAAAAAAAAAACTGAGAAACTGGTACCGGATGACACTGTAAAGACTTTGATGGAGGGCATCAAGCGAAAATGCGTTCAATTTTACAATCAAGGCTCCATCGATTAACTTTTCTTTTGATTTTTGAAGTAAATATATGTATAAAACTACCCTAAAATTTTGGTTTGATTCTAAACATTATAAGAAAATTGGCATGACATTTTCGGTGTCGCAATAATTTCGTGTTCGCCCTTTATTCATCTTTGGTCTCACGGCAAAATATTTTACTCACAGCACTCTTTTTGACGTTCTCATATTCACCACCAGAGGTTGAATCGATCGATTAGTTTCTATTAAGGCTCTGAACCATTTGGTGGATTTTTTTAACTTTTGGTTAAAATTTGACAGATGGAAAGTTATTGATTAACCCTGCTATCCGAGCGTGGTTATTTCTGACAGACAAGAAGTTAAATTTTGACAACCTTGGCTCGAAACGATCGACAGCACGGGGATTTTCGAACATAGAAAATAACTTTCGAAGTGTCACTTTTAACCACGAGTTAAATTTAACTAGGCAAATGGTTCACAGCCTACCCTAATAAAAATAACCATAAAAGAGAGCTTAACGACGTGTTCGGGGTATCATCCAAACCATTTGTGAGATAGTTTACCCATCCGGGATACAGTTCGTTTATGGTACTTGTTTATTAGGGTAAGGCTGCGTTCCATTTGGTGAATTTTCACTTAAATTTGAAACTTCGATAATAAATTATACTCTTCGAAAATCCCTCTCGTGCTGATCGTCCGATTTTCGAAAAGATGTTTGCCAAAATTGAGTCCATTTGTCCATTTGTCAAATTTAAGTGAAAATTCACCAAATGGAACACAGCCTAAAAAGGCGTTTTGAAAAATGTAGTGTTTTTTTAAACAGTTAAAATAATAATCTGTCAAACTTCAAATCAAACTACGATTTTCTCTGGCGGATATGTTACATTGGTCTATATGAAAAGTGACGCGAGAGATTTTTCAAATTATCTAACAGCAAATATCACAAATTCTCCTTACTGATCATTACCAAACGTAGCCCGTGACAATTTAAAGCTCACTGCGTGTTTATGAACATTATTATTCGATTATATTTTATATTTTATTGCACTACCTTTCGTGGAGCTTTCATAGCATCTAAATGTTTGTTTACTTTGCACTATAGGTAGCCGGTTTGACAGTTCGATAGGTAGACTTGCGGCTAACCACCAATTCGGAATATCATCTCAACTTTATGTGGTATGGTTGTACCAACCGGTGGAAGCTAACAATTTTAAATTGACTTACTACTTGATTAGCCTATTGGTCCCAAGTATACCAATAAGCGTACCCCATTTTAGTCAAAATTCTAGTACTACACAGCAAAAAAAAAGTTGTTGAATATTACATCGAAACTGCTGCAACCAGGTCAATCCATCGGTTGTGTAATATCACATTGTACGAAATACATCGATTTTGCGAACAAAATTACATCCATTGATGTAATATTGTATCTGCTTTTTGCTATTACATCATTATTTCATACATCAGCTTGAATTACGTTGATCGATATTACATTTTTTTTGCTGTGTACACTATGTTTACTATTATTACATGTTTATTATTACACTAAGTACGCCCACGCAAACCAACATCATCAGATCGGGTAGAGGAAATTCTCTCCTCTCCGATAGCGGCATTAGTTTGCGTGGAAAGGGCCTTACAATTTTTGTTTACAAATGCTTTTTGTGCCGTTTTCAAATGATACGCTTGAAATGTCTTCAAAATGTCTGCGAGAAAAAAATATCCTCAGAATTTCAAATCTCGATTACTTGTTCGAAGAGACGTATCAGCTTTTGTAAACAATGCATTTGATCGTTGGTGGTTTGGCGTAACTGCCCTAATAAAAATAACCATAAAAGAGAGTTTAACGACGTGTTCGGGGTATCATCCAAATCATTTGTGGGATAGTTTACCTAAAGAGCCTGAATTTATAAACAGACGACATGTCAAAATTGGAACAATCGATTATCTGTCAAAGTCATAGGAAAAGTTATTCCAATCGAGCAGAAGACCGGTCAAATGGATAAGATGTCGCCTCTTTACCCAATTCAGTCTCTTTAGTGAACCCTACACGACAGTTTGTATTGACAATAATCGTATTGTCAATACATTTTATATTGACTCAATACATCGGTATTGACAATATTTCTGTATTCACATCATCAATATTATTGTCAATACTTGTAAATATTGACAATATTTCTTACCGTGTGGGGTTAGCTTTTAAGTTTACCCATCCGGGATACAGTTCGTTTGTGGTATTTGTTTATTGGGGTGGTAGCTCACCCACGTATGCTAACACTACCATCAGATAGGGGACATTTTCCCCTACCTGATAGTGGTGTTAGTATGTGTGGACTAGAGTCGGTGTATAATGAGTCACGCCAAGAGTGAAGCCTAGTCTACCTATTGAACTGTCAAATCGGCTACCTATCGGGCAAAGTAAACAAGCATTACGATGCTATGAAAGGTCCACGAAAGGTATTGCAATTAAATATAAATTATAATCGAAGAAATGATCATAAACACGCAGTGAGCATTACATTTGTCATGCGATACGTTTTGTAATGGTCAGTAATGAGAAGTTCTACTATTTTTCGTTAAGATAATTTGACAATATCACTAATTTAATGATGTACTACAGTCGTTACTTGTTTTCCTCGCTAGAAGTCATTTGAAGTTGATGCAGAAGTCCTCTGTTGCCAAACGAAAAGAAAGGGAATCTTTCGAAAACCGTGATGCAAGTTCAACTGTTTTTCTCTTGGCGTGACTCATTATACACCGACTCTAGTGTGGACGAGCTACCAGTAACGCCAAACCGAAGATCAAATGCATTGTTTACAAAAGCTGATACGTCCCTTCGAAAAAGTAATCGAGAAATATCTTTCAAATTAAGCCATGTCATCAAGTCTGGCATCCCTGAACCTACGAAAATCTCTTTCATCTGAGTAGACGTCACTCTCTCTCTCTCTCTCTCTCTCTCTCTCTCTGAGTAAAATTGAACGGCCGTGTAGCTGCTTGTGAAAATTTGAAATCAAAACAAAAAATCCTCAAAACGGTTTCACGATTCCGTTGTTCGTTCAGTTAATTTGTTTCAAGCTGTGGAGTAATTAAACTTTATGTTTGTTATAAGAATTATCATGTCCGACGCAATTACCAACGATGATCAAGGTAATGGTATCCATCAACCATCAATTTTGAATTGATCTGTACGAAACAAAAAAACATTTGACAGGAATTATAAGTGAAGCAGTTCCCGCAAACGAAACGACGGCAACATTACGGGTAGGACAGTCCGAATCGGAACACAGAACGCCAAATGAATTAACTCAAGTTCCGGCGCAGCATGAAACGCGGACCACTGTGAATTCGTATTACACGTCACGCCATCGTGCCCCCTTTCGTTGTTATCCTTGCAGTAATATGCGGACAGCACGTACAAATGAGGAAGAATCGACCACAACGGTAGTCGTGCAGAGGAATGAAGTCGTAGAATCTCCACCTCCGGCACCAGTGGTGGTTCAGGAGGAAAATGTGACACCGATTCTCGGCACGAGCAGACTCGGTATCGCTGCAAAGTCGATCAAACACGATTCGGAATGTCGATGCCGGGACTGTACCTATGAAGCGAGTGAATACGGCTGGGAACTGGTCGAAGACCGTTTGTATACGGATGATGCTCCACGGGAGGAGTTCTGCGATCTGCAGGAACTAATCGACATTTGCATCGAGCTGGACGATATGGCAGACTGTGGCAATGGGAATTGCCCAAAAGCGTAGCGTGTGATTTTGATAAATTATTTCTTTTCTGTGGACTGATTCAATTGAATTCGAAGATTTTGTGATCTCATTATTAAACTAAAATAGCAACAAAAATCACTGTCGTTTTATTGCCCATTGAAAGCCAAAATTACCGTGCTGCTATCAGCAGTTGCGTTTATCTGTGCTATACAAACAAGCAAGATAAGTGGTCCTCCACTTAAGATAACCTATGCAAATACCGTATTGAATGGAATTTGTCTACTCACCGTTTTGCTGTAGCCGGTTTATTGACCTTTTGACCTCGTAGAATCTAACCGGATCCTATTGCTAAAAATCGGTAACAATACAAAGTTATCGTTATTAGATCATAGCAAAATCGAACTACCGAAGCTGAAAATATGTCTACCTACGAATTGGAAGCGGGAGTACCGAAATGGATGGAATTTGGTGGATTATGGGAGCTAGTTCCTTCGTCCCTGCCTGGAATCTACTGTACACGGTGGTAGCGGCGGCGGTGACCGGTGGTGATTCAATTTTGGTAAACAAACTTAGGCGTTTGCATCATCGGTTTGTTTGAAGTACCAGATCACCGATGAGTCGTGCGCTTGCTCACTGTTCGGGAGCGTGAGAAATGGGAACATTTTGCGTGAGAGTTACGAGTAGACCAACGTATATCAGTGACGCAAGGTAAGTGTTTTCAAATGCCATCAAGAAATTAAGACAAGTATCACAATCACATCAATTACACGGAAACCGCAAAATACGCAAAAATGACTATAAAGGACTCAATTTTGACTATAATACCATAATACCAACAATCAATACGAAACCAACGATTTAAAATTGGCTCACTACTTGACTAGCCTATTGGTCCCAAGCAAACGATTAACGTACCCCATTCTAGTCGAAATTCTAGTACTACGTAATGTTTGTTTTGATTCGCTATGAAAGTTTGACAGATAAAATGAGGGGTTATTGGTTTTTCTTATGTTTCGAGTGGTGAATCGATTAGCTTGGGACCGAAGAGAGTACCAGAGCTGAGCCAAAAAGTTGAGCACGTTATTTCGGGACCTTCTAGTCTTAGAGTTACCTCTATGATAATACCATTAATACCTTGTACAGACATACAAAATACACTGTTGCACCAACAATCAATACGAAACTAACGATTTTAAATTGGCTCACTACTTGACTAGCTGCCAATTTTGCTACACTTCACCTTATTGAGTCCGAGCCATGATTACTTCGGCACTAGTCATTAGACTGATGCAAAATTTTAAATTTTCGCTCCACAGTGCTTAAACGGCTCCAAATTGGGTTCTGCTTAGCCTCCCAAAATTTGAACTACTTTAGTAAGAAACTGACTTGGCACAAACCATTTAAAGTTTATATGGGAATTACTATGGAAAAACTTAAGTTTTTGTTCATATCTGCCTAACAATTCACCACATCACTATGCTTTTAAAACTGATAGCAGTGATTGTAGCAAATTTTCTCAGCTACAACTTTGTTCAAAACTACTTTTCAATCAAATGTAAGGAACAAAAGTTATTAATGATTCAAGTCACTAATGTCTTATGATCTCATTCAACTGTTCAGCAGGCAACATTGGTGTTTCTGGTGCGAAGAATAGAGCACAAATATCATGGCTACTATGTTACACTGCAGAATACAGTGTTGCCCACTGAACAGCTGCTTGATCATACCATAAGATTATCAATCTCTTAAACAATTAATAACAATTTAATTTGACATTTGGCTCAAAACGAAATTCAGCAAAGTTGTAGCTAAGAAAATTTTCCGTAAGAATAGTTATATAAATTTTCGAAAAAGAAATATGGAAAATGGGTAGAAGACAATGAACAACAAGTTTGTTTTTCCCATAGTAATTTACATATAAACTTCGAATAGTTTGTGCCAAGCCACTTTCTTACCAAATGAGTTTAAATTTTGGGAGGCTAATCAGGACCTGATTTGAAACCGTTTGGGCACTGTGGAGCGAAAATTTCAAATTTTGCATCAGTCTACTACACACAAAGAAAAATCGTTGCTAAAATTAAAAAAACCATTGGTTGAAATAAAAGTTTGCATTGGTTCTTTTTGGTATATGTATAGTCACCTTGGGCTCTGAACCATTTGGTGGATTATTTTAACTTTTGGTTAAAATTTGACAAATGAAAAGTTATCGATTAACCCTGCTATCCGATCTGACAGACAAGAAGTTAAATTTTGACAACCTTGGCTAAGTTCTTCTCGAAAACCGGTCGATCGACAGCACAGGGATTTTCGAACATAGAAAATAACTTTCGAAATGTCACTTTTAACCACGAGTTAAATTTAACTCGGCAAATGGTTCACAGCCTTGGTGCAGAACTTGGGGTAAATTTTAAGTACACGCAGAAAAATTCACCATCGAAACAAACATATTTGAGGTAAATTTAAACGTAAACTCAGTTTGTTCTGGCCACAAACATAAACTAGGTTGATTTCAAACGTATTCCATGTTTGAAGCATTGTTAATATTTTTTTATTGCTTTTATTTATAAGGCCCCCTCGCCTATTAGGCATTGCTTGGGCCGATGACCATTATTAACAATTAGATCCCTTCCCGCTTTTATTTTTCAAATAAAACGTATTATCCCCTATTTGATAAGTTGCATTATTTTCATCTAAACGATCTGTTTGCTGACCAGTCTTCTGCGTGCACTGATCAGCACGAACTTTCTTTTTTTTTCGTTCTCATTGTGTTTCGACAGCCGGCGTTTGTTGGTATTTTCAATAAAATCCTTTGTTGTGTTTGATGAGCTGGTGCTAGAGTTTTCCGTCGTTGCTTGAAGTGTGATGATCCTCGGTTTGATTGTCGGTGTTTCGCTGTTGTTCTTCTGCTGAGAACCCGGTGAAAGCAGGAGATGATTGACCCGATGTCGTTGGCTGGTTTTGTTCGATATCAATCGACGGGAAATCAGCGAGACTGAATACCCCCTCGGTTGGTGGAGCTGCTGGAGCGGTGCTATTGTTCGATGTGGCTACATCCAAACATTTCTGTTTGGGATGAGCTGCTCGGCCACAATGGCGGCACGTTTTTGGTTGCTTGTCGTACGTTACCAACGTAGTTTCGTTGTCGACCGTGCTGTACGATGGAATGGCGCTTTCGAGTCGCATTCGCAAAACTCGAACACCGCTCATGAATCCTGGGAAGTAGTGCTTCCATTTCTCATGTCGACTGGAAATCACTGTCCCGTTCTTTGCCATGTGGTTCATAACAGTCACACTGGGCCAGAAATGCAATCTAGCGGAGCAAAATTGTTGACCAATCTGATTTGATCTCCGCATTTGTGTAAATGTCATATTATCACCCACCTTCCCTAATAAAAAATAACCATATACGAACGATAACCCAAATAATTGAACTTTTCCACAAATGGTATGGAAGATACCAAGAACACGTCGTTAAGCAAAATAACCATAACAATTTTATTAGGGTTATTACCATCACCTTAGTGTGTGACATCAGGTGTACGCTGCTCTGTGTTTTTGTTACCAATGCAGTTAATTTGACACGTTTGTTGCATTTCCGTATGTCTCAATATTATTCTTGCTGAACCACCGTCAAACTCACTATCCAGAGGCACCGAACTACCTTAGCACCTGAAATTATACAAAAACAAATTAAACATTAGCACCAACCACAAAAGTTATTTATTTAATGCATTTTCGTAAGAGAAAAATATAACATTATATGGTTGTCAGCAAAAAACCGAAACAGAAAGAAAAAACCATATTTTCGACATTTTTTTCTTTAACTCCATATAACTCGGCATCAGTAGGCTGTGGAAATTTTACGTTTTGAAAAGAGTTGTTTATTTTGTCAAGGCAAACAACTTTGCCCAAGACATTAAGTCTCCAAATCCTCAGAGAAAAAAGTTAGATTGTGGCGCCATCTTTACGGAAGAGTTTTGAACTAATTGTTTATGTCAATAGATGGTCCTTATTATGATGAGAAACTTTGCCCAAGACACCAAGTCGTGGAAATTCTTCGTTTCGGAGTTATTAATTTTGCTCCGCTAGATTGTATTTCTGGCCCAGTGTGCAGTGGCTTGTGGCCATGCCAGAGGAAGATCATGCACTCGAACGGTCACTGCTTCACAATCCACATATACCGGGATTTTGAACTCTCTCTTCGCACAGAGAATCGTGTGTTTATAGTTGTGCGCCTTTTCATAGCGCAAGGCAACTTCATTGTCTATCATTTCAATAAAAACACAATTTCGGACGTTATGAAACTGAATGCATCTAACGTCCGAATATTGAAGCTTAATATTGCGCGTTTCACACCAAATTGGACTAATAAGCGCGTTTTCACCTCGGTTTTCACTTATTAAAAAGTGTGATAAAACTGCAAGTTTACGTCTAATCGTCTTGGTGTCTTCGGTGCACTTATTTCTTATGATGCAAGCAATAAGTGCTCCGAAGACATCAAAACGATTTGACGGAAACGTGAAATTTTATCACACTTTTTGCATTTTTGGGATAGTCCAGTTTCAGATGCAATCAGCAATATTGTTCTCGAAGAATTTTTGCACTTTTCCCGCATTGGGACGAACTGGAAGGACACTGAAGTCAACAACAAGTGTGTTTTTACGAACTACACTCATTTTCTCTACAATATTTCACCAAGTTAAGTAGAGCAGAAAGAGCACACGTCCGATGAATACGAGTAATGGCTGTCGAATGATTGTTAATAATGTTTAAAACAATAATATTGTTACGTTTATTTTAAAAATATTCTTGTTGAAAATAAACGAGAATATTTTTGGTTGATTTGACAACCATATGTGATCAAAAATAAATGTTTATTTTTAAAATGCTTTTCATGTTTAAAAAAAAACATTTTGAAATATTGTAGCATTTGAATGCGTGATAAAATAAAATATTTAAAATGGAAATCGGCAGACAGGGCATCTATATTCCTGGTATTTTTCGGTGCGATTAGGGTTGATGCATATATTATGTCACGCTCTAAGGGGGATGGGGGGTGGGTCTAAGATTTTGTGACAAGCAATTCTTTAGGTATAGGAAAAACGTCACGCTCGATGCTCGATTTAGCGTGACATAATTAATACATGGGCCCTTAAGGGTGGTCTATGGGTGTTCGGATCCAGTTCCAAGATCCGGGGGTTCCAGTTCAGTAAAACCGGTGAAACTTTGTGATATTAGTATCGTTTTGTCGTTTCTCACGCTGGTCCTCATACCGGCCTCTTTCTACGTTTGGTGTTGTGGGATAATCTGTTTTTCTTTCGACGTCGCGTTGGGGTGAGAATGATATGGGGATCGGCATCATAAACGACGAAGTGACGTTGATATTGTGGGGTTCCACCGGTTTTGTCGAGCTTGGAACCCTTACTTGCGTTGAATAAATTTAGAAGTCATCTTTGACAGAAATATTCCATTTTTAGTTAAAACTCGTTCAGAAAAGAGAGGTAAAGTGCGCTTTGTGCTTAGTAGGACGCAAATTAGATCGAAAACCCTATAACGAATTCGTTAATCCGTAAAAGGATTAAATTTTAATCTATTTCAGAATAATAATAATTTTGAGTGTACTTCGGTTTCGCAGCTTGCAGCCGGTTTTCGGTTGAGTTTTCCAAATGTAAACAACAAGGAAAAAAGGACACGCTGAAAATTGTTTACCCAGAATATGTATTGCTGAAATAAACATCCCTAATAAAAACTGTATGGTTAATTTGCTTAACGACGTGTTCTGGGTATCATCCAAACCATTTATGGAATAGTTCAATGATTAGGGTTATCGTTCGTTTATGGTTATTTTTTATTAGGGATGCTTTTGGATTTATTTCAAACACACATATTTTTGTTGAAAACGTGTTTTCAATTTACTTTGAACTATTTATATTTTTATATAATGAACATACCTATATATTTTTGATTTTTTTTTTTTTTTCCTTTGGTTTGTTTTTTCCGTCGATCTTGTTTTCCGTGCTGAGCACCAATGCTACCGACGTGCTAGGAAAGCAGCTCCCACACCTGGACTTTACCTATCGGCCCATCAAACTCATGAACCGGGGACCAACGGCTTTACTTCCCATCCGAAGGAAGGCGTGATCAGAGATGTTATGCCTCAGAACATCCCGGCGGCGCCGACTGGGATTGAACTCAGGCCTGCTGGGGTGATAGGTAATCACGCTTACCAGTACACCACCGGCGCCGTTTATATATTTTTGATTTAAATGAACAAAATTTCGAATATTAGTGCAAGAAAACCTTTCAATTTACTCTTAAGTTCTGCACTAATATTTGTGTAATTCACAAACATCAGAGAAGTCTATAAGCGATTTTATCTCATCCACTCTTTGCAAAGAGGCTATCAGAAAATTGCTCATTGACGAGTGCACGGATGGATTTGAGTTCACTCACTCGGCAAAAAAGTGACACAACAGCGGGGCCCTGTTTACTAAAAATGAACACATATGTGTTCATTTTTAGTAAACAGGGCCCCGCTGTTGTGTCACTTTTTGTCGAGTGAGTGAACTCAACTCCATCCGTGCACTCGTCAATTGTGACTCTGCCAAAGCTAAATTTGCAGGTTTTATGTGTCAAACACAAACTTTACAATCTTTTCTTGTTACGTACACACAGTTTACGTGATCCGTAAGAAAAGCGCAGGAAAGGAAAGTAAACTCTTTTTGTTCATACCTGGGGGGGGGGGGGGGGACGTGCTGTCAAATCAGCCTACTGATCATTCTTGTATGAAACTGGTTCCAAACGTAAACAAACGCTGTAGGTTTCTTATGGCTTGTTTACGTTTGGAACCAGTTATGTGAGGTAGGCGACGATTGTTCGTATTTGACAGCCACCTCCCCCCCTTGGTTCATACGACCTAATAACTTACACACAAAATTGGAGTAGCGCCACTGTTGCAATTTTGGGTAAGATTGAAATAGTGTGTACAACGCAGCATGATCTGGAAAAGCATCTTTTGGATGGGTTCGCGATAAATTTTCCGTGCTTGGAATAGAGTCTTCGGGAGGTTTGTGTAACTTTAAACGGTTTAGCAAGAAGTTTAGTTTGAATTAGTTTCTTTATTAAAGAGGTTTTCAGCCTTGAATAGGAAAAATCCCATAAAAATATGTACAATGAATTTCACACAAAAAAATGTCATCCAAATCAAGCGCAGTAATTCCATTACGCTAATATCAACAAAGTTTATTTATTTTTTCACGACACTTATGACCTTACTAAAACTTTACTGCATAATCAAACTAACCCTAGCTTTGTGACCCTAATCTATGGTAGAATTTACAATCCTAGTGAACGACGAAGAAGTTTCGATTTAATTAGCATAAAGATAAAATTTATGACTCGATCAATCCTACGCACATTCTGCATCTAACCAAATAATAAATTATCACCTTAAAACTAATTAAAGCCTTCTACTTGCCAAGCTTGTAGTACTTTTTACGAACATCGTAGAAAACTCTCAGATGGCAGAGGTATTTGACCAATCGGAAGATCGAACATAGCGCCAGCAAAATACCACCGATGAGATAAAGGTTGATGACCGTGTTTTCCACTGGCATCATGCAACGGGATATTGCGTGATCCGCCTGAGATATTTTAGCCTGTTGGAATAAAATTTGACGAAATAACAATTAGCTAACACTTCCATACAAATTTGATGCAACTCACCAAAATAAAACTCGGATCATTTTTGTTACGCCAGCTGAACGACGACAGCGTATGTTCCTCAATTCCCAGCCGATTCTTCTCCACGTAACAATAGTGATGCGAGTGGCCACTGAAAGCCAACCTAGGGTTCAGCAGTTCCCCAATCAAATCGGTCGACTCCTTCGAAATGACCTCCCACCGTTCCCGGAATGGTTCTATCTGCGGAGCATCGTGCTCCTTGCACTCCCGATCCGAATCCCTGTACGTGGGGAAATGTTGCATCAAAATCGGCTTGCTATACTCCTCCAGCTTGGGTACGCCCCTGCACTGGCCAATTCCGCGGCCACATTTGAAAATTGCCGAAACGGCACGCAGTTCCTTCTCGGCCGTTTCACACAGCTGACACCCATCGCCTTCCATGGCTATCGAATTGATAAGCACGAAATTGACCCCTCGAATGCTGGTCAGTGTTACACCGGTATTATTGAACGTCTTCTCGAACCGATGCACCAGATATGGGTGGGTTGCATAGTGAAATCCAATATCGTGATTTCCAACTACACTTAACAACCGAGTTCCCTGCGGCGTGTGGAACAGCTTCCTAAACCGATCCACGTACACATCAAACTCCTTCTGATTGACCCAGTTGCCTTCGTCGAAGACATCCCCCAGAATGAAAACCGCTTCCGGTCGAAACAACGTCATGGCGGATTGGAACGCTCGATGCATTTGCCATTCGCGACGTAGCTTATCGAACCAGTGCCCGTGAAGTGGCCCCAGCAGATGGGTGTCCGCCAGCAGCATCACCTTGACCGGTTCCTGGCCATTGACCGAGTCAGATTTACCCGGCCATTGGCACTGAAAGCAAACAGTATCAATTTCATATTTACTTTTCGATTTTTCGCAAACCATGACCTATACCAACCTCCAGCAGTACCAAATAGTAGATAATAAATTCGTTAAATACGAACAAACAAAGTGCCCCAATCAGTGCCCGAAACAGGAGGCCACGAAGTCGCATGTCGCGTTGCCTTATCAGTTTTGCTTCTTTTTCGGCGATTTATTACTGCGCGTTTCTACTGATAACGATTCTGTGTGCGGAGGTGCACCTGCAACGCAGAGAAAAGATAAAAAAATATAAACAAACATTCTAGTACTGCGTTTGAAATGCTTCTCACTCTCAAACGTCAATCGAAGTTTTTAAACCCTTCGGAAACGTTTATCGGTGAACATGAAGTGAAGGGGCGTTGCAATGTGTAAATACCGAGATAAATACAAAGTCAATGTAATCGAGTAATTTTATTGCTTTTATAAATATCGTAAAACGAGGGCATCTTTGCTGATGCAGGTAGCTTTGAAATTAGAATATAATGATTTAATGTACTCTCTGCATTATTTCCGAATTAATCATATCGTCCGGTCGTTTTCCACAGAGATGGCGCTGTTCCGCTGGTAGGAAGGGATAAAAATCCTCATATAGAAAATGGGTTGTTTAACTTCGAAACAAATTTTTATACATCATCTAATAGAGCTTCGTTTTCTGAACACAACGATTTGTTTATCGATCCCGATCCAGTTATCTCGATTTTTACATCAAGATTTAAATTTTTAATCGTTGACACTAAATCTATTCGTTGACAGCTCGCTTCCATACAAAGTCCAACAAAGGGGCGCTAAGATGGTGATTTTTTCTAATGTAATCGTACTTATTTAAAATAGTTCCAGTGTACTAAAATTGATGAAATTTTGGTTTCGGGTTCCATTTTTAATGCAGATTACGAATATGCATTTACCTCAATACCCTGGGGGCAAGACACTATCGATCATGAGTAAAACCGAAGTTAATTTTGAGTAACTCTGAGTAACTCACGCTGCTCAATGTCTTATATACTCATAGCAACCTGATTGTTATATTGAAAATTACGTTGAAACCGATGCTGTCAAGCAAAGTTAGTTGACGTGCTTTCTTGGAATTTCTGTGTAGGGACTTTTGGGGTGGTTCGATAGGTTCGGATTAGGCTAAATTAATTCAATACATTCAATTCTTAGAGCAATATAGTTTGTGGCACTGCTACCATCTCTCCTGTTAGCGTTGAATTCAATCTTCTGTAATTTTTTTAATTGGACCGCTAAAATGCCTAACATGGTCTTTTTTTAATTTATTCAGTTTTTGATATTTATTCACCATTAAATACATCCAGTCAGCTTCACAATTGCTTGTTTTAATAAACTTTAATTCATTGCTAGAGGCAATACATCTGGCAACGCTTTTTCAATGATACATTTACGATTGCTGGCAAAGCGCTAAAGTTGACTTGGGTTGCTTCCGCTGGCGAAGCTGGCCAGAGCTGACCTAATCTGGCCTAGAATCAGCAGCAACATAATATACCACAATCAGCAGTCAAGGACCAATTGGGTTCTTTAAGGGTATTGAGGTAAGTTCAAATTCGTAATCTGCATTAGAAATGGAACCCAAACCCAAAATTTTATCAATTTTGGTACACTGGAAGATAAGAACGATTACATTTGCAAAAATCACCCTATTAGCGCCCCTCGGTGTCACTTTGTATGGGAGCGAGTTGTCAGCTTGTCAGTTTAGTGTCAAACAGTGAAGTTATTATTTTGCTTTAAATCTTGATTTAAAAATCGAGATGAAAGTGTGTGGGTTCGAAAAAAATATCGCTGTGCTCAGAAAATGAGTTCTTTCAGATGATATATAAAAACCGATATATTTTTCGAAATTAAAGAACCCAATTCTATTGACCACGAACGAAGTTTCAAGCTCAGGTTGTACCTCAGCTAACCGAAAAGGAGCATTCCCCTTTTGGAACGGGTCACTCCAGTCAATCCTGTATCGTCCTAGGCCGTGTCAATCCTCACCAACGAGTGAAGGCGCCTGAAAGGCATCCAAGCCCCGTAAAACCGTCGTGCAGTCAAACCACCACAGTAGCATTTCGTTTGTACACAATTCGATTTGCTAAACGAGTGATTCGATCTGTCAAATGTGCGAACATATGCTTCAAACGAAATATGCTGTCAGACGATATTTCTTTGATCATAAAATTGAGACTACTTTGTTCATTTTTGAGTAAATATGAGTAACTCAAATTTACTCTGAGTGCAGCTGTCTTTCCCTCAGTCAATACTCTTAAAGAACCCAATTGAGAGAAGTGGAAATAATTCGCTTTCGGTGCATATTCAGGTCAAAAAAAGCGAACGACAACCTAAATAAATTAGACAGGGACTTTGTCGTTCATTTTTGTCCCAGAAATTATTGTTAAACAAGCTTCAATTAAATAAAAATGATTTTTCCCCATACAGTTTTACCATAGAGGTAACTCTAAGACTAGAAGGTCCCGAAGAAACGTGCTCAACTTTTTGGCTCAGCTCTGGTACTCTCTTCGGTCTCGGTTCACCCCTCGAAACATAGGAAAATCCACGAACCCCTCATTTTATCTGTCAAACTTTCATAGCGAATCAAAACAAACATAGTGTAGTACTGGAATTCATACTAGAATGGGGTACGTTAATCGATTTGCTTGGGACCAATAGGCTACACAGAAAAAAAAGTTGTTGAATATTACATCCAAACTGCTGCAACCAGGTCAATCCATCGGTTGTATAACATAACTTTGTACGATGTACATCGATTTTGGGAACAAAATTACATCCATTGATGTAATATTGTATCTGCTTTTTGCTATTACATCATTATTTCATACATCAGCTTGAATTACATTGATCGATATTACATTTTTTTTTGCTAGTGTAAGTAGTGAGCCAATTTAAAATCGTTAGTTTCGTATTGATTGTTGGTAACACAGCTGAGCCAAAAAGTTGAGCACGTTATTTCGGGACTTTCTAGTCTTAGAGTTACCTCTATGGTTTTGCCTGCTTTACTATCAGTCCCAAGAGAGCCAATTTGAGAGAGAAAATTTGCTCTTACTAGTTCAATTTCTCAACATGCCATGTATTTTGATGACACTATTTGTGATTTCCCTCTCACAGACTACAAGATAGAGTAGCTGACACTGCAAAACATGTCTGGTACTTCTATATATGCATTTTAATTAACATCTAAAGTCCTTCTTTTCACCCTGTTAAAGCCAGTGGAAACTGACGATTTTAAATTGGCTCACTACTTGACTAGCCTATTACCATAGAGGTAACTCTAAGACAAGTAGGTCCCAAAGAAACGTGCTCAACTTTTTGGCTCACCTCTGGTACTATCTTCGGTCCCAAGCTTGTCGAATCACCCCTCGAAACATAGGAAAAACCAATAACCCCTCATTTTATCTGTCAAACTTTCATAGCGAATCAAAACAAACATTGCGTAGTACTAGAATTTCGACTAGAATAGGGTACGTTAATCGTTTGCTTGGGACCAATAGGCTACTAAAGTGGTGAGCCAATTTAAAATCGTTAGTTTCGTATTGATTGTTGCTATTACCCCCAAGTATACTATACATATGTATACATATAAAAGCGTACCCCCATTTTGCTATGTTTCGAGGGGTGCATCGATTAGCTTGGGACCGAAGATAGTACCAGAGCTGAGCCAAAAAGTTCTGGATCAACAATAGGCGAATAGAAACTAAGCAATCGTTTCAGCCTCTGGCGGTGAAAAAGGGAACCCTTAAAAGAGTGATGAGGGCTGAAATTTTCACCGTGAAGCATAGGAAGAGCAAAATATTTTCACCTTTCCTGATTAATTTATCCTTCGCAGGTGCATGAAATCGTCACCCAAGTCGAATTTTTACTTTCTGTATCGATTTTGCAGCGATCCGGCTGGTGCTGCCAAATTGATTGATGAAAAAAAATTAAAATTAATGAAATTGTCCCAGTGGTTATGATCTTCCGGATTTTTCATGTGTGTTTATTTGAATTGTAAATCAATTGTCCAATAAAGTATACATTATTTAGAGTTTTGAAATTCGTCATTATGATGTAAACAAATGGTTTGAATGACACTTCTTCTCAAAATCGCCTAGCGCACTCTACATTGATGGTGCATGAAAAGAGCCTATAGAAAAGGGCCCATCAGCATTTGTAAACAAACCGTTCCAAAAGCCCTTTACTCACAAAGCAAAGGCCACCCACGCAAACCAACACCATCATTGGATAGAGGAAACTTCCACCAACCGGTTAACACTCGTGTTTATTTCAGCTACCGTGGGGACGTAATTTGTGATTAGCCCCGGTCCCTTTCAAATTGTATCATTATTTATGTACGGTCCTTATATTTGAAATGACGTTTCACATTCATCTAGTGATGGCCTATTTTCATTCGAATAATCGATTAATCGATTAACGAACTGAACAGTAAAATATTTGTAATCGGTTATATCATGCCGATATAAGCATTAACTTCTGCAGAGGATCATCACCGATCGTTTCAAACAAGTTTTGCACTCTCATTGGTGAAAAAAATGACAGCACAGTGAACAAAAAATAATCGATTAGTTGTTAATCGAGTAATTAAAAAATGGGACATCTCTGATTTTCGCGAGGGGGGGGACTCTATCTACGATGCAGAAAAAATTGTGTTTTGCTGTGATTAGCTGCGCGCACGCTGAGTAGATAGAAAGAAGATTAATGATGATTCTGAAAATTTCCTGCAAAAAGATGATGCGCGATGCAAGTAGATGCGAGAAATGAAAGAAGATTTGTTCGAAGATTGGTTTGCTAGTGTGAGATTTGTTGAGCATCTTATTGAGATTTAGATGTGTCGCCCCTCTCGGATTTTCGAGTGATTGTTTTGATAAAAAGCACGCAAATTTCATCTCTACCGAGGGGACAGCAAAACCACAAAATTACCTTGCATGCTGGGGGTATTCATTGGATGAAAGGGACCGTGAAAGAGGACCTAAAATTGAAAGTTTTTCTTCCGACAGTTTCATCTTAGTATTCATCTTTGGTGAAACGATGTTACCAAATCAGCTGCATACTGTGATTTTTTAAAAATAAATTATTCTTAAAAGGAATCATGCATTAAATACAGTGTAGGTATTGCATTAATTTACCCAATTTATCAAAACAAAAACAAATAGATAAAATATAATTGATAATTCAGCAAAAGTGGAAAACAAATATATTGTTGTACAACCAGCAAAGTGCTGTCAAAAAACATTTACTTCAGCAAAAAATAACAGATATACTGAAGATTCAGTAAAATGATTTCATGTTGACAGAAGTTTGAATTGCTGCATCTTTATTTTGCTGGATAGTTTGCTGATATATCAACAAGTCCAAAATAAGCAAAACTTTGCTGATTTTCAGGGATTTAAATTTGGTGTGAGAATTGATTACCAAATTAAATGATACTTTCTACCATTCAACTACCCCTTGGCAGAAACTTTTCCGAAGGGCTCAATGTTTGACAGTTTGTTCGCACATTGACATATCGTCATAGTCTTTTTCGCATCTCGCGAGTTTTTCCGCGACCGACCGCGGCCACGGAAGACGGCCATTCATTCGCTCACTTTATAATACAAGCTGTAGCGAGACGGTCGGTGGTTCGAGTTTTTCGTTCCGCGAAAGGTTTTTTCCTCTTTTTTCCGTTCCGTTCTCGGTTGGATTTTAGACGCGAGTGGTGTGCGAAGAGCGCGGGGCGAATTTTCCTATTGCGCGAGTGTATGTGTGATTCTTATTTTCAATAATAGTTTGTTAAAGAAAAATAATTACCCTCGTCGCTGATTGCAAAAAGTCGCACCTTCCTGCAATCAGTGCACCCGATAATATTATCTACTGCTATTCTGTGTGATTATTATTTCTGTCGTGGGTTCTAACATCTGGATCGCATCCTCGTTGTTCCGTTTCCCTTCCTTAGGTTCCGAAGGCGTTTTCAGCGAATCACAATGAAAATCTGGACTTCAGAGCATGTATTCAAGTAAGTTGACAGCAGCCGCTTCATTGACGGTGTGCCTTTCTTTCTGTATGTATTGATTATGTAAAAGGCCTGCGGGCAGAAGGAAACCTTTATTTCTGGAAATTTCCGTCCGCTTTTTGGTCAGGATTGGTATGACTCAAAGGGATTGCACCGCCGATGCACTGATGCATTCACCTGGCAACAGTACGAGGGGTGGTGCGTGAAGTGACCTTTGGACTTCTGGCACTTTCAAGCTGCAACTCAGTCAGTGATTATGAAATTGGAACCAGAGTTTCACGAGACAAATGAATGAACGAAACACGAGCGCTTGTGGGGCCTGTGTGAGTGGAAAAGTGGAATGTCTTTGTTCCTCGCGGAGGTAGATTTCGATCGTGCAAAGTATCTACGTCACTCGAGGAGCATGTGAGTGGAACAGCTGTGTGGTGGTGGTTACTTTTTGCTTGGGTTCAGGGTGGGGATCGAGGGGAGGAGGGTGTGTTATTAAACAGAAATTGAAGGTCTTCTGCCCGTGGGTGGTGGGTTGGGGCGAGGGTGATGACCACTACCATCACCAGCCACCAGCCTGTCGGGAAGTACCTTGAGAAGAATATCTTTCTCCACTTCCTTAGCATGATTGTGTTTGCTTTTATTTCTAATCAAATCATTTCGTTTGTCTCTTTTTTTTTATTGTTTACAGCCACCCATGGGAAACCGTGGCCCAGGCAGCCTGGCGCAAGTACCCGAATCCAATCAATACGGCAGTGATCGGCACCGATGTGGTCGAGCGGAGGGTCGTCGATGGCGTTCTGCATACGCATCGATTAGTCAGTTCCAAATGGTACTTTCCACAGTGGGCCCAAAAGGTTAGTATTAGCGCGTTATCAGGCAGACCGGTGGTACTTTTCCCACCGAGCTGTTCCGAGAGGTTCGAATGTGACCGCGACCTTACAGGTGAATTTAAAATGAAATGCCAACGATGCTAACTATAGTGGAAGAAAACCAGGGCGCTGTCGGACGGACTTCTTCGTCTAATTATCGCTTTCAATGTCAAGTGAATATCTCTGCTAGCTGCTCGTTGATTCGTCCGTTGGCGAATCTCCTCTGCGCAGTTGAATCGAATGTGAAGATGTGTGTGCGCGAGGTGTTTAGCTGTATTGGCTTTAGAAATCGTATTGGTTTGACTAGTTTATGAATTGTTTGATCAAACGCACTTTTCGTTTACAAAACAATGATGGAAATGTCTGTTTGGGTATTCGAAATGTGGCGTTAAGACTAAACATACCTACGTAAGCGCAGATTTTGCGACGCAAATAATAAGGACAGATAAGCCTGTCTGTCGGAGGCAATGCCATCGAATCGAATCGGAGGAAGTTCTGTGTTGGAGAGAATTAACTTTAGCAGTGCACAAAATCTCGAATAAAATAACCGCGTCATCATGACCTGACTTGCCTGATAAGCTTGGTGGTATTTAGGAGATTTGCAGAATTAAAATCAAACAATCTTATCTGATCGGATTCGGTTGACATTAAGTTGATTCGTGAAGAAGCCACTTGGTAGAGGTTGGCCGGTTGGTACGCGAACTGAGGACTATCGACTTTTCTTTAACACAAAAAAAAAACTGTAAATTGACCAGTAGCTAACTACGAGATGAACTAGCTTTTCACATTGATGCACGGGTTGCACATTTCAAAGGGTAGACTTCATGTGTCTACAGTAATCTGCAGCCGTAGAAAGCTTTGAAGAGACCTGCAGTTTGAATTTTGGAACTGCGATTGCATCCGCAATGACATTGATGCATCCGTGTTTGAAATTTTATCCAAATCCAATGTTCTGCTTATGCGCCAACCAATGTTGCCGAGCTACAGGACAAGAATAATGTTGGCACTCAACTGATGAATGCCATCGTTAACGAAGTTCCAAAGGATGAGCTCGAAGAAACGAGTGATATCGTTGAGCAGTTTGCAGAATTTTATGGCATTTACGACATTGTGATCGGGGGCTCGGTCTTTTCCCATCGACTATAGTGCCCAGAGTCATGTGGGTTTCCCTTGATTGGCATACCGAGAATCAAACCACATCTGCATCAGCCGAAGATGCATCGCCGGAATAAACCGGCACCGGCGAGATTCGCATTACGCGGTTCCATCGGCGGGAGTAGATTGATTGATTGATTTCTTTATTATAGAGACTTTCAGCCGTTGGCTGGTTCGTCTCTGAAAAGAAAGTGTGGGTCCAGAAGGGACCTCATCTAGTTACAAAGTATTTTTTTTTCCTTTTTTATCATGTTAGGAGGTCTGTAAGAAGCCACCTCTAGTTAAATACTGAGGCTGTCAATGTGCTGGAAGCCCCTTAATGCTGTGATTCTAGTCGGGTCGTTACTCAGTGCGCCCTTAATGCTGCCCGGTATGCCGTACAGCACTCGTGAGCCTTCGTATTGAGTACAGTGGCAGATTATGTGTTCCACTGAACAGCAGAGCTCACAAAATTTCCGGAACGGGCCGCTCCCAGAAAAGTTATGCGAGACTCTGGTATGGCCTGTTCTGAGTCTTGCAAGGACAACCTGAGTTCGGTGGTCAGGGGGGTCTTGCCATCTTCGTGTGTCAGCCTTCACTTTTGTAAGGAAAATGCTAGTTAATTGGGACCATGTATTTGACCATAAGTCCCAGATTTTGTTGGCAACCCATTTTTTCAGGTCCCCTGGTGGAACCTCCTTGGTGAACAGTTGGGCTCGTCTTCCAGAAGCCGCTAGATGATCCGCCTCCGTATTACCACGAATGCCGCAGTGGCCCGGAATCCATACAAATGTAGCTTTTCTGGGGGCATATCGCTGAATGGCTTGGATCCATGAGTGCTTAATAGAGTCTGAGTTGAGGGCTAAAACTACACTTGCGGAGTCCGTAAATACGGCAATCGGCTTGTTTGAGGGAGTGGTAGCAGCAATAAAAGCAGAGACCGCTTCTGCCGAGAATATAGTGTACTGGTCTGGAAGTCGATGAAGTACGGACATTTGGGGGCCCGTGATGCCGATGCCAACCCCTTCACGGGAAACCGATCCATCGGAGTAACGGATAGTGTGGTTGCAGTATCTGGTTCTCTGGAGTTCCGCGACGGATCTCACAAGTGCCGTAGAGTTGGATCCTTCCTTGAACTTCTTCTCTATCGCCTAGTCGATAATGGGCCCGCTCAGGTTCCAATCTCTGGTTCCACACCAATGTATGCTAGACACCGGGGGGAGCTCCAGATTGGCGGTGGCTGAAAGGAGTTGTTTGGCCTCGGTAAGGAGGAAAACTCCTTCATCTGAGCCAGCTGTCTTCTCCTCGCAGCTAATTGATCGGTTACAGATGGTCTGAGTAAGTAGAAGGTTGAATGGTAGTACTCCACTTTCCACGCAAGCTGCAATTGCAGGCGTGGATGGTAGTAGGCCGGATGAGATACGGATAGCTTGGTGGTACGTAGAGGCTAGTTTCGTAATAAGTTGTTCGCGAGCGAGACAGGTAACTTCGATTCCATAAAGGAGGCGTGATTCTAAAATTGTTCTAGCAACTCGAAGACGAATGGACCGGTTACTGTCTGGGTGTCGACCTGCGATGGATCGTAGCAGATTAAGACGTGTCTTGCAGGCGTTCTTGGCTTCGTCGAAGTGGGCAGAAAAGGTCAAATATCGGTCAATTCGAACTCCGAGGATACGGGCTGACCTCCTGATGGGAATAGCTGTACCATTGATACAGATGGGAGTGTAAAGGACGGCATGATGGTGAGAGCAGATGTGCACTAGTGTGCATTTTTCGGCTGAGAGTTGGAAGCCAGTCAGTGATGTCCACAGGGAGACTGCCCTTGTGGCAGCGCCCATCTTTCTGCGTAGTGCCTTGATGGTTCTGTGAGTGATCAGGAGGATAATGTCGTCAGCGTACACAAAGATGTAAATTTCTTTAGGAAGGTTAACGCGGCGGGAGTAGAGGCGATTCACCACACCCCGACTTGCAGATCCAGCAGTGAAAAGGTCTTTCGTTGAAGAAGCCAGAAAGTGGCTGCAGACGGCCATCAAAAATGCCTCTGTCGTAACGAGGGGGAAAGAGGATGATCTGGTTGAGCTACGCACTCAGAGAAAAGAGTGAATGACGGATGATAAATGAAACTCCGCTGAATGTTTAATCACTGCAGGAGATGGAAGCAGCTATCCAAAGCATGAAATCCAACAAGGCTCCAGTGTTCGATCGCATGTCAGCAGAGATGCTTAAAGCTCACCATATGCTATCCGTACAAATGTATTCTGTACTATCTGGGGCACCGTGTCTTTTGTATCGCTTTGCGTCTTACCGAAGTCCAAAAAAAAAAGAGGATCTTACTGTGTGCGACAATTGGTGAGACATAAATCCTACTGTTTATTATTATCAAAGTTCTGTGTCAAGTTAAACTGAATCGGATCCAGAAGAAGATCGATGGGGCTCTCCGGCAGCAGTAGGCAGGATTCCGTGCTGGAGAACCATACTGTCACGCTCCGTATTGTCTTTGAGCAGGTTCCAATGAATTTCAAGAGTCCCTGTATTTGGTATTCATTTGCTACGACTTTCGACCGACTTAGTCACGCCAATCTGTGAGGTGGAATAAAATCGTCAATCTCAGCGATGTGCAGAATGATACTTTCACGGGCAGAGCTTTGCATAACAGATATGTATACATGTATACTATCATCGCTACTGTTCCTCATCTCAATCGACAAGATCAAGGTAGATGCAATTGGCCGTGTACCGAAACGTGGGCTGCTTTGGCAGCCTATCACTATGGAGCACCTCAACGACTTCGCTTTGACTGATGATGTTGCGCTATTGGTATTCAGAGTAACCTAAACCATCTACGAAATATGATAAATGGCTTGCAAAACGACATCCATAGAGCCATATGGTCACAATAGAACTGGTTCTGGATGTTAGGATTATGGCTCCTTATGGTCAAATTTGATATCTCTCATAACCATATCAAGCGACATATTAAATCACATCTACTCATCGAAATATGACCAATGTTACTCGACGACGTCAATCTTCTTCTGCTCAGCCATGTCACGAACGAAGTGGTATCTGGTGTCCACGTGCTTGGACCGTTTAGTTCCTCCGTCTTGCTTCAGTAGTTTAATGCAGCTCTGATTGTCCTCGTAAATTATTACAGGCTGCTTAACTTTCTCACCAAAGTCCTTCATGAGTTTTAATATCCACTGCAACTCTTGACAACTCTCGGATAGCGATATGTATTCCGCTTCTGTAGACGAAAGCGCCACACAACCTTGTTTCCTTGCAGTCCAAGATATTGTACCGTTACCAAGTCGAAACATATAACCAGATTTGGACTTCTGGTCGGTAATGTTTCCGGCCCAATCAGCATCCGCATAGCCCTCAAGATCTCCTTCTCCACCAACGTACAGTTTCAAATCACAAGTACCTACCAGGTAACGAAGCACACACGTTTTGCCTCTACCCAATCGCTAGCGGTGGGTTGGCTCACCTTCCTTCCCAGAATAGACGTGCTAATAGCAATGTCTGGTCGTGTATGCACAGCTAAGTAAAGCAAACCCCCAATGAGACTTTGAAATTTGTCATTGGTTGGTAGTCTATCGCTCTCCTCCTTTTGCTGCATGTAACCTGTGTCCATCGGGATCTTTGACGGTTTAGCATCCTGCATACCGAAACGATCCGCCAATTTCCGAATGTACGCCTTCTGACTGAGGCAATACTGATCGTTCTTCTTCTCTACCTGTATTCCAACGAACTGTTGAACATCTCCGAGTTGGGTTAGGTCGAATTCGGCTCCCATGCGCCTGAAAATCTCATCGTACTCCTGCAAATCTCATCGTACTCCTGCTGACTTGAACTTGCGACCAACATGTCATCGACATACAGCAATATGAATGTCGATTTCTGACCTCGATGACGCACATACAAACAGGGGTCTGCATCAGACGGCTTGAATCCCATTTGTCGTAGAACACTATCGATTTTCTGGTTCCACATCCTTGCCGATTGTCGAAGGCCGTATATGCTCTTCTTCAACAAGCAAACTGTACTACTCATCGTAGATTTCACTCCAGGAGGCACTCGCATATAGATCTGCTCGTCTAGATCACCGTTGAGATACGCGGTCTTGACATCTATATGTTTCACTATCATACCTCTCCTAGCTGCGATAGTAAGTAGTGTTCGAAAGGTTACCTGCTTCGCAACGGGAGCAAATATTTCATCGAAATCCGTACCGTAGAGTTGGGTCAATCCCTGGGCAACGAGACGTGCTTTATAACGAATCACGTTCCCGTCCTCGTCATACTTGCGTTTGAACACCCAGCGGCATCCTACGATTTTCCTCCCAGGTTTGATTTTTCCGAAGCGATTCCAGTTCATCCAATATTGCTTGAATCCACTGCTCCTTTTCAGATCCACTGACAGCCTCCTGATAAGAACGTGGTTCGCCAGACAACTCCTTCACGGGACCGTTAACCTGATAACGCTCTGGCGGAACTCCAAAGTTACTACGCCGCGACCGACGCATTTCGCCGTCCGGCAGCTCCTCCTGTTCCTCGTCTCCGCGGTAAAATGAACTTGCTTCAAATCCTTCGAAATCTTCTTCATCTGCATCTTCATATTCACTCAATACACTTCCATTTTCATCATCAATTTCAGGGCCAACTTCATTCTGCACCGTTAGTGGGAACTCAACGATACTATCTGATTCCTCCGAAGCCTGCTTTGTCGGACGGAAAATCTCCAACTGCTCCTGCTTCAGAAATCTTACATCCCTGCTTATGACGACCTTGTCCGTTTTCAAATCAATCATTCGGTACCCCTTATGCTGCGAAGAGTACCCGATGAATGTCATCCGTACGGCTTTTGGTTCCAGCTTGGTGCGTTTTTCCGAAGGAACTAGAACACACGCCTGCGAACCGAACACGTGAAGATTCTCCAAATCTGGCTTCTTCTTGAAAACGGTCTCGAAAGGAGTTGTATCTCTGACCCTTGTCGGAAGTATGTTCTGCAAATAGTTGGCAGTATTAACAGCTTCCGCCCAATATTTGTAGCCCATGTTGGCATCGAGCAGCATGCATCTGCCCATCTCCACAAGCGATACACCGTTCTGCTGTGGTGTATACGCCGTAGTGAACTGCTGGAATATTCCCTCTTGTGCACAGAACGCTTGGAACGAATTAGCCTTATACCACAGGAGTGGAACTTCAAATCAGAAAGTGGCTCCACTGGTCATTTGCGAACACTAGCGCACCTAGCGGTAGAAGGCATCTTCGGCCTGCAGTTAAGATAGGCAGCATGCTATGATAGTGTGAGTGCACATAGAAAGCCTATGTGGAACGCTACCACATCACATCGCTCGTTGAACAGAAAAACGAGCACTTTTTGATTCACCGATTTGTTTGCACTTCCCCTAGATCCCAAGAGATCCGGCATGTTCCTTCGCCTTCCACCGTACACTTGCGGCCGTCAGCCACCACCACAACACTAAGGTGTTTCCAATTCTTTTCTTCACGGTTTCGAAAAAGTCACGATTTGCACAAATGTGCCACGACGAACCAGAATCGATTGTCCATTCACTAGTCGAGCCACCGATCGCGAACGCGAAAGCTTCTTCTTCTTCCGCGTGTGTTGCCACTTTGGCCTGTGCATTCCTGGATGACCTCGAATCGTCCCGAACATCTTCTTCTGGTTTCGGTTTCACTCGACAATCTTTCTTCTTGTGTCCAACTCTCTGGCAGTTGTGACACACCACACTTTTCTTCTTCTGCGTTTTCTCATACACTTTCAACGCTTTCTCACTTTTTTCGTCTCCTCTACGCTTCAACACTTCATCCATCACTTTTTGCTTCACCAATTCCAGTGTGATTTCCTCCTCCTTCCGGCAATCCAAAGCCGTCGTCAGGGTACTGGAGGACTTTGGGAGACTGCGCAGGACCATCATAACTTCCAGCTCTCTGCCTAGATTTGTTCCAGCTTTGCTCAACTTTTCGAACAACTGATCCATATCGTACAGATGCTGCTCAATGTTTTCCCCGTCAGTGTAGCGCATATCACACAGCCGATAGAAAATGCCTACTTTTGCTGACAGCGTAACTTTTTCGTGATGTTTCTGCAAATTCTCCCACGCACTTTTCGCTGACGTGGTGTTCCGGATGAGTGCATGTTGGGTCTCTTCCACCAACAATCCGATCGTCGCTCTTGCCTTTTGGTCTCTTTCGACGAAGCGCATCACGGGAGAGATGAAAGTCGAAAACAGATGCAACTCTGTTGAATGTTCTCGACAGTCCGCAAATCGCATTCATATGCTCCATAATTTGTGCGTCGTAGAAGCAGTCTTAGCATAAGGTTATTACGAAGCGGTCGGGGTTGAACATTCAAGTCAATTTGCCTCAGGATAGCCTCGCAATCTGTCCTTCCTTGCAGGATATCTGCCACGGTTAGGGCTCTGCTTGTGTCTCTTCTAGTCCGGAGAAGTTCTAGGTCGATAAGTTGACTACGGCTTTCGTAACTGGGTAATCTAAACGGATCATTCCAAGGCAATCTACGCAACGCAAAACGAAGAAAGCGACGTTCCAAACCACTGAACAATACTCAAGCGTCGATCGAACAAGCGAACAATAGAGAGATTTTAGACAGTAGATATCAGTGAAGTTTTTATATCAGTGAAAGCTGCGAATCCAAGATCACACCTGATTCACGCGTTCGATTGTCGAGCCAAGCAGGTCATAGCTAAATATTATCGGTTGTTGTTTTCGTGAGAACGTAATAGCGGAGCATTTGGCTGGGTTCACTACCATTCTGTTTAACCTGCACCAATTAACGAATACATTCAGTTGACGTTGAAGAAAGTGACAGTCAACAATGGAGCAGATTCGTAGGAAGATTTGGGGTCATCTGCATATGATAACCGAGGAGCTTCGATGACCAGATGCACGTCGTTGAAGTACAGTATAAAAATTAACGGTCCCATGTGGCTTCCCTGAGGTATTATACCTGATGTGGCGAAGAAGCTAGCTATGGCAACTTTTAGTTGCCGACCGGTAAGATATGATCGAAACCAACTCAGCATACACCGAGCCTGCCGAGTTTAGCAATCGCAATAGCATGGTTCAACTTGTCGAATGCTGCGGATAGGTCTGAATAAATAACGTCCGTTTGAACCCGATCCGACATGCTTTCGGTTGTATACGATGTGAGACACAGCAGATTGGTGGTTGTAGAGCGGCCGACGGTAAACCCATGTTGATCAGCACTCAAATACTGCTTACAATGGGACAGCAACGATTCCATAATCACTAGCTCGAATAGCTTCGTAACGGCACTTAACGATGTAATTCCTCGATAGTTATCCACAGCTCGTTTCCTTCCTTTTTTGTGGACGGGCAACATGTGCGCAAATTTCCAGCAAGATCGAAATATGCCACCTGAGAGAGACATTCGGAACAGGCGAAGAAGCGGAATTAACAAGCTAGCAATATGTCTCTTCAAAAATACAGATGGAACTCCATCAGGTCCAGGATTAAAGGATGACTTGAGCAGAGTCGCGGCCTTAGAAATCATCTCTGCATTAACATCAATTGCACCCAGCGTTTGATCATTTACTGGAACGTTCCTGGCAGCCAGGTTAATATGGTCGTCAGTTAGTATCTCATTAGTGAATACACTGGCAAACTTTTCGGAAAAAAAGGTGGCATATATTCTGAACAGTGGCACCAACGTCTCCGTTGAATTCCATAGACGTAGCTTAAGTTTGCGCTGGATGCCTCGTTGGAAACTTGAAAAGCATTCACGACTGACTCGCTGGTACATGTGATTCAGCCTCACATAATGTAGTTTCAGAGGAAGCGTGCGATACTTCGTAAATCTTCACAATGCTGCTCTCTTGATTGACTTCAACCTACGTAGCTCTCTCGTCTGCCAGGGAGGGTGAGACACTTTGTGGTGAGTTCTTTTCGGGACGTGTCTGTCAATGACATATGCTAAGACATGTGAAAAGGTTTGCGCTGCAGCCTCAACGTCATCTGGATCAAGGATGTTCTCCCATACCATGCTAGACAATACATCTATGATGCTACGGTGGTCAGCTTTACGGAAGTCATAAGAAACCCTAGCAGGATAGTCGTCGAAATCACGCACGAGTTTGTCCTCAACAGTGACAATTAGAGGAGGGTGATGTGGAACTAGCTTAGTTAGTGCATAAGGAGCCGAGGAAATTGATGGAGCCCTACGAGTATTTTCGTTAACTACATGGTTAATTCGAGAAAGCGTCGCTGCGCTGTAGTTGTCGAGAAGGCTAATAGCTCCTGCGTGAAATGTAGAGCTATCAGGATCTGGGTACAGGAATCCGCTATGAGATGGACTCCACGAAACGCCTGGCAGATTGAAGTCACCAAAAATGAATACCTCATCAACTGGAGTGGCACTTTCGATAACTGTGAAAACTGACCAACAGTGAGTATCGATGAGTTCATTATCGCGGACTCGATCAGGTGGAATGTACAGAGCGCATAAAAATAGTGTGCGATCACCCAGATTGATGGCTGTCCAAACCTGCTCCACATAGTTCCATGAATCGTTCTCGATGGCCTTTGCCTCCAACCCGCTACGGACAGCTACAAGGTCACCTCCACCAGTAGATTTACGGCTGTTGTTAGGATTCCGATCGCAACGAAAGACCTCGTAGTCAGGACCGAAGACTTGACTGGAAGGCGTTCGATAATCGAGCCACGTTTCGCACAGGACAGTTATATCGTAGCAACGATCCGATCCAGCTAGGCGGTACTCTTCAACATCAGAATTCATTCCACCGGCGTTTTGGTAGAAGATCACGACGTCCTGCTTGCGGCAAGGAATCGAACGACTGCTCTCCCGGGAAATCCCAGATACATCAGGCAATAACTGACCATCATCAAGCCTCATTGGACACTCGCCATAGTGAGTGGGTTGGAAGACCCCCTCTCCACATCCGACAGCAGGTCCGGAACGACTATGATGAACGAAGGCTGCTGATGGCAGGACTGAGACGGAGGGATTGGGGGCTTCCATGGGGCTTTCTACGGCGCGTTCCGGGTTTCCAGGATTGGGAGTTACAGAGGCATCAATGACTAACATAGTCAGAATTGCTGAACATTTGATCGGCATCAGGCAGTGAATAGTCAATATATTGATTGTACTTGCTTGTAGAGGCAAGGTGGAAGACTCCTGATTCATATCCAGCCACAGGTCCAGGACGACTATGCTGACACTGGCGGGAATCGGCACGACTGGGCTGGAGTAACCAGAAGCTTCCAAAGAGCGGTCTATTGTGTCTCTGATAACCATATCCAGGGCTGTTACAACAGGCGCGGTTTTAGCGAATTTCGCGGATTTGAACTTTCAGTCGCGAAAATCGCGGAAACATTAAATGATGTCGCGAGAATCGCCAATGGGCTGATGTGCTGTCACAAAAATTTTGGAATTCATTGTAACCTTTCCGTACCGGATTATTTTGCTATCATCAATTTTGTTTTTCATTTGGCTCTCATTTTTACCGGTTCAAACCAAACACCCTACAAATAATCGAGAAATGATCTCAATTCTATAAGTCACACCGGACTTACACGGAAATTCCCCGAGGTCTGTCCAATGTGAGACATTTTCCTTTTTTCCAATATGAACATAGCATTTATAGTTGTCAAATCATAAACGAACCGTATATGTGCGAGTAATTGCGATGTATACCGGATATTCTAGGTTCTCCAAATCGTCCTGTAGTTCAGTTGATTTGTTCTACTATATCAACCAAGACTGCTATAATGTCTGTAGTATCGAAATATGTCCAAACAGATTCAAAGTGTCTATGTGGATCGTGTCCGACCTATTGCTACGTATTCAAGATGTTATAGGTTCTGAAATCATTCTGGAGATCAGATTATTTTTCTATTAGATCACCCAAGACTAATTCAATATCTGTAGTATCGAAATATGTCCAAACAAATTTGCAGTGTCTATGTGGATCATGCCAACCTATTTCCGTGTATGTCAAATGTTCTAGAATTTCCATATCGATATTCCGATACTACAGATATTATACCAGTCTTTGTTGATCTAGTAAAACAAATCATCTGAACTGCAGGACGATTTGGAGAACTTAGATCATCTGGTATACGTGGAAATAATTAAACATTATCCACATAGACACTTCGAATCTGATTGGACATTTTTCGATACTAGAGACATTATTGTAGTCTTGGTTGAATTAATAGAATAAATCATCTGACCTCTACACTAATAGAATTCCACACATTTTTATTGACGAATTTCCATGTAAAATTCCACATGATTTTCATGTGACCACACATAAACAGAATTCACCCAGAGCCACACATGAACTTTATGAGTCAAATGAATAGTATGCGTGGTTACACATGGCTTTTATGTGTACACATATTCAGTATGTGTCCGACACATAGATATCATATGCTGATCACATTGCAAAAATTCATGTGTGGGACACATAAAAACAATCTTTGAAATTTTATCAGTGTAGATTAATTTGGATAACTTAAATCATCTGGTATCTGTGCATCTGTCTGGAAATATTTCAAAACTAAAGACATTGTCCCAATCTCGGTTGATCTAGTAGATCAAATTATCTGAACTCCAGGACGATTTGAAGAACCTACAACATCTGGATTACTCGGAAATAGATCATGCATGATCCACATAGACACTTTGAATCTGATTGGACATTTTTCGATACTACAGACATTATTGCAGTCTTGGTTGATCTAGTAGATCAAATCAACTGATGTCCTGGACGATTTGGAAAACCTATAAATCCGGTATACGTAGAAATAAGTCGTGCATGATCCACAAAGCCACATATATAATTTCTCGATTATGTGCAGGGTGTTTGGTTTGAATCGGTCAAAAATTGAGAAAACAAGAGCCAGATTAACTACAACATTTAGGACAGCAAAATACGTCAGAGACGCAAAGGTTAACTTTCAAGAAAATTTGCATTTCAAATGAAAATGCATTTTTTTTTAAATAATGTTTCATCAAATCTAGGTCGGTATTATTCAATAGAATCTCATAATGTAAGGGTGTTTTATTATTCAGAATTTATACTATACATAATTAACTGAAGATGATACAATGTTATTTAAAACAAAAAAAATCAAAGGTTATAAATGATACTCCTGTAGCTCAGTCGGTAAATGCGCAGCTACAAAGCTAGTCCATGCTGGAGGCGACTGAGTTCGATTCCCGTCCGATCTATTAATTTTTCGGGTTGGAAAATTTCTCTACTTCCTTGGACATAGGATGGCACAGGCATAGAAAGCTCTCAATTAAAATGTGAAGGTTCTTCAAAGCACACTAAGTTGAGAGCAGGTAAAAATCTAATATACTATAAGCAATAAGCTTGAAATGCCATTTAGTAGTATACAAATGGTATTGTTAGGTAATGAAAACATTTTTTTTGTCGCGGATTTCTTTTGAGAAATCGCGGATTTCGCGGATCAAATTTAGAAAATCTTGTAACTGCCCTGAATATTTTATAATAATTATCGACAAGAAAAATGTCGTAGGCTTATAACATGTTACAGGGCTGGTAGTGAGTCATTTTTTCAAGTCAGTCACTAAAAAGTCTCTTTTTTAAGGCCAAGTCACTAAAGTCACTTTTTCTTGTGAAAGTCACTATTTTCAACTTTTTTAGCGTGAATTTATTTCAAGATTCATTATTCTTTGCGTTGTGGCTTTTAATCGTCTTTCTCTATATACAGGATGTCTACTCATTTTTCTGCATAACATTACCTGAGTTTTCCAAGCAAGTAACTCCAAGATCTAAAAATATTCAATGTGTTGAAGTTTCGTATTCCATGTACAAGTTCAAGATATTGAAAAGATTCAAAGTGCCAGGATTAAGTAAAATAATAAATGATTTATTTCAAGTTCATAATTACCTTTATGAAAGATTAGAAATCTTCAATGCAGTCCCATTATTCATTAACTTTACAACAATTGTAGGAACTTTGTAGTTCTGAGGAATGAAAGGAAATGCTGAGAATTTCAGTGAAGCTCTATATACAAACTGCAGGAACATAAGGGAAGTTAACACGGTGAAAATAAGGCAAACTTACTGGAAGCTGTAAGAACCTCAAAGCGGTTCTTTTAGCATCCGTGACTTTTCAGGAATTTTTATGAAGTTCCTAGAATTTCAGAGAAGTTCACAGGTGTGAAGCGAACTTGAGAAATTTAGAAAACTTGAGTGGTATTGTGCACATTTTTAAGAAGTTCTAAGCATCTCAGAAAAGCTAGATCTAGAGATCTTTGGGGAATTTCAGATCTTAAGAGCAATTCCCGTAACTATAGTCCAGAGTGTTGAAGCAGTTTGAAATCAATAATCGTAAATTTAGATAAATTCAGGATAGTTCCATGATGTGCAAGGAAATATTTGAAAACTTAAAGAAGTTTCGAGAAACTCCGTGAATTTCCGAAAACTACAGCAAAGAGAAAACTTCTGGAAATTTTATGAACATCCGGAAAACGTGAGAGTATTTTAAGGGTGATGTATCATTGAGATTTCAAGAACTTAAAAAAAATGCGAAAATTTAGCTAAGTTGATTAGAGAACATCAACGAAGTTCCATTAATAAAAAAAGCGAGAAAGTTTAGCAAGCAGCGATATCTTCAAGAAATTTCAGAGAACTAAATTTAGATAATCAGCGAAGTTCTGAGTGCTTCGAGGACGATCAGATAGCTTCAGAATAATCCCATTAACTTAAGCAAATTTGCAGTGACTTACAAGGAGTTCCGAATTCTATGAATGATCCTTAAACGTCAGAAGCGTCAGGGAATTATGAATATGTATTAGAAAATTTGCTGGATTATTAAACAAATTTATAGAACTTCAGGTAAGCATAGATAAGTTCAGAGAAAATAAGCGAGTGTTAATAACGGCTATAATGCTTAAGGAACATTTTCGAGGCAAGTTATTTGATTTCAGTAAAGTTGCGGGTTCTTAAAAATACTGATAAGTTCTGGGCAGTCTAGAGAACTTTAAAGAAATTCAGTAATCGTCTAGGCACCAGTAAAGTCTAGACTATTGAAGAAGTTTTAAATTAGTGTCGATAATTTAAGGGAAGTTTTATGAAAAAATATTGAGATCTTCAGTGAAAAATTTTAGAACTTTATTAATTATTTCGTTCGAATTCCATGAAAATTGCGGGAGCACAAAAGTTCCAGAAATTTAGAAAAACTCCGAAAACTTCACAGAAGGACTTCTTCAGAAACATTACTTCATAGAAATCTATGGAGCTTAAGATGAGATCCGCGAACTTCAGGAAATTTTATGAACATTAGCAAAATACGGGAGCATTTGAAAGAAGTTTAGTATTCTCCGAAAATTAGTTTCAGAAAATTAGTGGGGAATTTAAAGCAGTTCCCAGATTTTCAGATAACTTCAGAGACGTTAAAAAGTTGTTTGAGGTCTTCGCATAAGTTCAGAAGTTCACTGAAGCTTAAACTATTGTTAGAACGATTTAATTAAATTCAGCGCAGTACAACAAGCTTGATGAGAACTGCTAACACTTAAGAAAAGTTTTGAGAATATCAGAAAAGAACAGAGAATCTCAGAGGAGTTCCGTCAACATTAGAGAAGTCACATAAATTTTAAAGAAGCTTAGAAAACTTCAGTGAATTGTTAAACCTTTAAAGAAGATCTATGATCGTTAAAACAATTGAGGAAACTTTAGGAAGCCCTACAAAGTTCCGGATTTCAGGAGGAGTATTGTGAGCATCAGGCTAGTTTATCAAACTACAAAAAAAAAAGTTCAAGGCAGTTTCATTAACTTCAGGAAAAAATTGAGAACTTTCAAGTGGTTCTGAAGACCTCAAAATAGTCCATTCCATGTTCAACGGAGATTTCCTCAAAATCTCGATGACTCTATGGTCAGAATTAAATTTTCTTTCAGTTTCCTCGGAATTACCTTGAAATTTTCCACAATTAAAAATCCTTTGGAAAGATTCTCCGAGTATTCATTGAATTCATTTCAGATTTCCTTTCAATCTCACTCCTTCCCTTGGAATTCTACTCACATTGAAAGTCTCCTAAAAATTCATTGACATTACTCCTCAGAAATTCGATTAGATTTCTTCTCATAATTTGTTTGGAAAATTCTCCTGAATTTATTTTCCGAATTCCTTTGAATATGTTCTGGGGTTATTCTCACATTTAATTGTAATCCTCCTTTAAGTATTTTCAAAAAATGTCCAAGAATTTGTGCTCCGGATTCATTTTTTCCCACAAACTTTATGAAATTATCCTCTGAATGCCCTTGGAATTTTCCGGTGAAGTTCACAAGAGTTGTGCTCCTCAGAAATTCCTAAGATTTTTCATTAAAAATTCATTATAAAGGGTGTCCACGATGAAATTGCCACACACAAAATTGATTCGCAAAATTCGAGTTTTCATCCGATTGCCATCAAATTTTCAGGGATTGAGAAATAACTATTAAACTTCATTTTAACATTTTACTCGTATTTTATTTACAGTCCATACGCAAATGCCCGCACCTTGGCCTTAACCCCGGCCATAAGATTCTGCACAACCTGTGAATCAACCGTTTTTTGCATGTAAACCCATACTTTCTTCAGTTCCTCGACTGTCTTCACTACCTTAGGTCGTTTAAGAAGGTGCTGCTTCATAATCGCCCAGTACTTCTCGATGGGGCGGAGCTCCGGAGTGTTGGGAGGGTTGAACATTTTCGGCACGAAATTGACCTTATTGTCCGCATACCACTTCAGCACGTCCTTGGAGTAGTGGCATGAGGCCAAATCCGGCAAGAAGATTGTTGGGACGTTGTGGGCCTTCAGGAGAGGAAGCAGCCGCTTCTGGAGGCACTCTTTTATGTACACCTGTCCGTTCATCGTGTCCTGGGTCACGAAAGGTGCACTCCGCCTCCCGCACGTGCAGATGGCTTGCCAAACCAGGAATTTCTTCGCAAATTTGGACATCTTCTGAGTGCGGACATGCTCCGGAACGCTGAACTTATCCTTGGCCGTGAAAAACAGGTTGCCGGGGATCTGTTTGAAATCGGCCTTCACATATGTTTCGTCGTCCATGATGCAGCATTCAACTTTCGTCAGCATGTTGAGGTACAACTTCCTGGCACGGGTTTTGGCGGACTTGTTCTGCTTCTCGTCGCGATTAGGGGCCTTTTGTACCTTGAACGTTCGAAGCCCAGTCTTAGTTTTGGCCTTCTGGACAAAACTTCGGTTTAGGTGCAGCTTCTTAGCCACATCCCTAACGGAGGTGTTCGGATTTCGGTTGAAGGCCCCAACTACGCGGTTGTGATTTTTGGTGTTGTACGGAATACTTTTTCCTTCACTTCTGGGCTTCCGATCGGTGGTCAACCGTTCCTCGAACCGCTTAATCACTCGCGACACCGTGGAATTCGCGATTCCCAACGTTTTAGCGATGGAACGATGCGAGAGATCCTTGTTCTCGTGATGAATGCGCAATATTTTATCACGCACGAGCTGTTCTTTCGACTCCATTTCCGCGAGTTTTGATCACAGGACTTTAAAACTTGCAGGATGTAAATAATGCACTATGAACTAAATCCACCCAAATTTTCATTAAATTCTACCCAACGGTTAAAAAGTTAGAGCAATTTCATCGTGGCCACCCTTTAATTAGTTAAAAACTCAACTATTTACTTTTAACTAACTAAGGCTTCACATGAAATCTAAAATTCATAAGAAACAACCTCGATAGCAGATTGCATTTGATGTTTTTCTGAATGACTTTTTCCCAGAGCTCCCTTGCAATGAGGTCCTTAGAAATTATAATAAAATTCCTCGAGTCTTTAAAACTGTGAATGGAATTTGACTCAAGATTCTTGAAAATTTCTTGAAGTATTATAGCTTTTAAGTCCAGAACTAGTTCAAATTATTTTTTTTAGTAAATAAGCATTTTTCGTAACTGCAGATTAATCCACTGTGAATCTCTAAAGTTCAAAGTGTGAATAAAAATAACGAGAAAAATTAAATGGTTGTAATTTAAAATTCATTATTCTCTTTAAAAAAAATATGTTTTTTTAAATTCTTTGAGCCTTCCAGGTATTTTAAGGAAACAAAAAATTTCCTGAGGATTCCCGGTTTTCCAGATTTTCGAAGCTAGTAGACACCGACCAAGTAGTAGTAGACCAATACGGTGGGTTTGGTTATAAGCTTTCTATTGAATCTTTCGCTTTAAAGGTTCATATCGTGTTAATGAGATAATAATTGAATAAGTCTAAAACATCAAATATTTATTTGATGTGCCTTCTCTTAGGTCACTTTTTAGTCACTTTTTTACAACTATAAGTCACTATTTGGTCACTTTTTCATTCAACATGGTCACTAAAATCACTATTTCTGACAGTAGTGATTGCTACCAGCCCTGCAATTAACATTTAATATAACTCTCTGCTCAGTCTAGTCAGTGTTTAAGGAGTAAGGATCTGATAAGTAAATAGAGAATCCACCGTCATGTTGGCTACGCGATAATGACATCCTTTCATAGGGCTGGTTTTTTGTTGTTAGCAACAGTTCATTCCCAGCCCAACGGTTTCCAAATCAAACTGCAGAGATCTTCGCCAGGTAATCGGAACCATCATTCCAAGAAGCTATAGTGGATCTGAAAGCGTGCAAGGAGTGCAATCAAATCGCATCAATGATCTCCAATTGATTAAGGCAGCTGAGAAATCAATTCGCAAAATCATTGGATCATGACCCTCTTGGCTCAATAAATGTGTAGGTATTATTCATAAATGAAAAATTGTCAACTGAACCGGCTTTCCCCCCTCAATACAAGCTCAATGTTTAAGCTTGTGTGTGGGTAAAAATCTACTTTAGCGGAAATTGTTGGCAGCCGGCCCAAATATTTCGATCATTTTAGCTAACTTGAATTAATTACGAAGTAAAATCCACCAGAAAAGGTTAATGCATCATTTTGACCACTGTTCCCTAGCAGGATGATTTTAGGTGTGGAAATTTTCATTCATTCCGCTCAACCGTTGCCATGACCCTTGTCAATATACTTCTCCACACTTTCACCGTCAAGCTAGACTGAAAATAGAAGAGAATGCCGCCACCAAGCGCATTCGCTTTCCACTCGTCACAAGCTTGAAATAAGTGCGCGCGAAGAGCAGACGTCCACGACGCCACCGGCGGCGATAAAATTTGCTGACGCGCTTGCTCGTGCTAGGTATCATCATACATTTATCAGCTGTATTAGAATTTACTAGCATCCATTCGCTGACGCGTAACAGAGCTAGTGAAGTATCAGAGCAGAGCATTACCAATTGTAATGAACATGGCGCGAAATGCACGTACGTCACGTCACCGTGATGTCACATTTGATTAGCGCATTCTACTTTAGGACGATGAAGATGATTTCGTTAGTAGATCAGAGTCGTACTTTCTTGCTTGGAGGATGTCGTTGTCATAGCGGGTCCGCACGTGAACATTCATTACATATTAATAGCTAAGCTACCAACACAAATGACCGTTACTACACGTTTTGTGTTACACACTCTCTCTCTATGTACATTGATGCAATTCGGAAGTACTCACTATACTCTGTGGACGACACAGTATCGATTTTATTCCGCGTAGGTAGGTGTTTCGCTGCTTCTTTGCACTGTTACTTCATTTTGCATTTCGGGTTGTCCTTCAGCCGTCAGCTGTTTGTCACATAATTTTGCACGAGATATATAGGCAATGAGCTGGATTACCGAGGTGAAGCAATCACTCACACAACCACTGTACGATACACGCAAGTACACGCAAGTAGTGACGTCACTACTTGCGTTTACGTTGATTTTTTGGTTTACTAATACAACCCTATTTCACGATCTGCTCCACCTCTCTCTGTACCTCATTGATATATAGGTACATACCGACCGGTTGGACTGGCAGCTCTACAACAGATGGGCGATTGCGTAACAACTGAAGGATGCTCTCACATTTGATGCCACTGCACACTGAAACTATAGTACATTTGGGTAATGACTGAACGGAAGTCGCATTACGGGGATTTTATACGATCAAATGTCGGTTCGAAAATTGAAAAGACTGAAAATAGAGGTGCAATGTATGTTTAGCGATAACATCACGCCTTATCTTATCTATCTAGAAGAGGATTAAGTCAGATGAATACTTCGCTGAACCATACGTGTGGTCGTTATTGACATGTATGGCACCTAGTATGTGTGTTCAAGAATTCTTACTTTGATATTTTGGGTACAAAGTTGAAACATTTCTGTGGGTAATTTCTACTTATCTATGTTTATCAGACCCACAAACCGACATCTTTTAAAGCCGTGTGATCAGACAAAACGTCATTCTTATCATCGCTTCGCAAAGCACACAGGGAAATTCTTTGTCTGTTTACTATTAATCCTTCCATTCATTATCAACCGGCGCGTGTTTACTATACGGTCTAATAATCTACCGGTGCACGGGATTGACGGTAGCTCACGGTTGCACACCTACAGCTCGTGTGATTTTTTGCATACCATCCACCATCACAGAAAAAAATAAAGCGCGCAAATAGCCAAACCCTGTTCGTCATCGAGGAATCGTTGAACTACTATATTTTTAAAAACCCGACACATGTAACCACGCTGGTTCACCTCCCATCGTTTGTTGAACTCACTACCCAAATAACTAACTGGCGCTTTTCTTATTTTTTTCGTTCCATTCCAGCTGATCGGATCGCCGAATGTGTGCTACGCCAGTGAACAGTCCACCGTGGATCCGGCCAAAAAGCTGATGACGCTGAAGACCATCAACCTGACCTTCGGGAGCTTCCTGTCGGTGTACGAAACGCTCAGCTACGTGCCACATCCGACCGATCCGGACAAGACGCTGCTGAAGCAGGAGGCCACCGTCCAGGTCGAGGGGGTGCCCCTCAATCGGTACATGGAGGACGTGCTGACCAATAACATTAGCACCAACGCCGGCAAGGGCCGCCAGGGTCTCGAGTGGGTGATAGGGAAGCTGAACTCGGAGGTTAGTATTGATTTATTCACCTTACCTTTGATGGCGGTGTTCGGGAAGTTCGCATCTTTGGCTATTACGTCCCTATTCAATACTTTACGCCTGTCCTCAGCCGGTGGGGCAAAAGTTCGCGCTCTTCAGAAAAACCGTTCTTGCTACGAATGAACTGTAGATTAATCAAAGCTCTGTAAGAGAAAGTTGTAAACCTTGAATTAGCGATGTGTGAATGGTGTTTGTTTGATTCCAAAGCATGGAATTTTAAGATATTTAATGTCCAGCTTGTAATACCAGGGTGGTCATTCATCTTAGAAAACCTGAAGAACCGAAAATTAATCGAGAATTGAAACAAGCCGGGAAATAACCGGGAATTTGATTGCAATCGTAAAATATTCTTGCCCCTTGGATGAGTTTTCTTAGACCGGGATCTTATTTTTTATAAGTATGTTTAAAGTTACCGTGTACAAAGATTGAGTAGAAGAGCGTAGAAGATCGCAGGTTCTATACAAACTGCCAGTTTGTTCACCCTTGAGAGGCGGGACCTGCGGCAAATCAGCGGATACAGACACCCAATCAAGGTGGAACACTTGACTACGGTTTTCTCTACATGCGATCGGAATAGGAGCTTTTCGTCAAACAACATCCCGAGATAGGTTACTTCGGTGGACCACTCAACCCTTGTGCCATCCATGATTACAGTACAAGCGGGTGCCGGTTTTACATTAAGCGATTTCCGATGGAGGAACATGACTGTTTGTGTTTTGGAGGCATTGATTTTGATTTTCCACGTGGTGGCATAATCAGCAAAAGTGTCAAAGCATCGTTGGAGCTTGTTTGTTATTTCGCGAGGCATCCTACTCTTTTGACGACTATTGCGGTATCATCTGCGAACAGGAAGAACACGCAACCGTCTCCGAGGGAAGGAATGTCAGAAACGTAGATGCTGTAAAGCAAAGGGCCCAACAGACTTCCTAGCGGAACACCTGCTGGGATGGAGAACTTGTTTGAAAGGCAGCCATTCAACGATACCTTGAACGACATTTGCTGCAGGTAGTTACGGGTGATTTTCACAAGATAGGATGGGAAGTTGAAGTTGCAAAGCTTGTGCACAAGTCCGTCGTGCCACACACTGTCGAACGCCTTTTCGATGGATACGACCCTGTTACTTCGGATGGTATTCATCATCCGTGCTAGCTGATGGTTGGTGGAATGCCCCTTCCTGAACCCAAACTGTTCCGGAAGGAGTATGTTGTGTTCTTCCACAAAGTTATTCAGGCGGTTGAGGATCAGTTTCTCAAACAGCTTGCTCAGCGCTGAAAGGAAGCTGATCGGTCTGTAGCTTGAAGCTAATGTTGGGTCCTCCCGGGTTTGCGGATAGGTATGATTTTCCTTGTCTTCCAGATGCTTGGAAAGTAGTGCAGTTCCAAGCATCTGTTGAAGACAGCGGCCAGCAGAGAGTGAGAGTGAGTTGAATGTTCCGGGACCTTCATGTTTTTGGTGCATTTCAGCGCTGAGCAAATCTGTTCCACTGAGATCCTATCCTCCGGAGGGATAGCACAAGGGGAGGAACCAAAGTTGATCTTCGACCGGACTTTGGATGTTGGAGCCAAGCAAGTGCGATTTGGCAATATGCACACCAATCGCATTTGCTTTGAGTGATGGAATGGGTTTGGGGTGCGTCTTTAGGTCCTTGACAACCTTCCATAATGGTCTGGAGCCGCCCGCAACTTTCGTTCCGGTTAGAGACAATTCTGGAAGCAATCTCCTTGTTCAGATCGGCAATTTCACGTTTCCTCGCTGGATCTCCGGTTCTTTGGAACTGGCATCTACGAATATGTCTCATGCGAATCAAGAGATGGGTGTGGGAATCAATGGCAATAAACTTACCCCTCTCAGGAACTCGTCGGACGCATGCCTCGTCAGCAACGGCTATGGCTTGGTGGAGTCTCCAACGCTCGGTGGATGTCCTCCACGGAGTCAAGCGGTGGGTTGTCGATGATGTGCCTGTCTACCACGCGTCCAAAGTGGGCCCAGTTTACGCGGTGGTAGTCTTAGATCAGGAGCCACGTTACAGCCCAGTTCAGCCACCCCCGAGTGGTGGTCGGAGCTGAGTTCGTTCAAGGCTACCGGCTTGGACAAGCCGGTGTTTGTCAGAAACATGTCTAGCGTCGATGGGTTGCCCGCAGGTGAGATCTATGTTGGCTCGTCCGAGAACCAAACGGAGTACAGCCCATGCTACGAGTGGTCAAACAGTAGACGACCGTTTTGGTTCTGCTGGTAGTTCCGCCATGGCGAACATTTAGATCTCCTCCAACAACGAAGCGGGAACCGGTACGGGTGATGGTGGACAGGTCCTTCTTGAATATAGCCGCTAGTCCACTGCTGGCGGCACACTGTCGAGGGCAGTAGATGGCAATGAACTGGAAGTATCCAGTCGATGACTCCACCTTCACACCAAGGGCCTCGATGATAGAGGGGCGGATATGAGGCAGACTGCAATATTTTGGTACGATCAAGCCAAATGATGTTGTGGTTCAGCAACCAGCAACTGTCGCCGGACTTGAGATGGGTCTCGGTGAGGAGCCCACGTCCATGGTATGCTTGCGATTGCTCGATTGTGTTTGCCCTTAAGGAGCAAGCGTTCCACCGGACTATGCATAGTGGTTTAGACGCCATAATACATAGCCAGTTTCACGATGGTTTCGAACTGTTCGTTCTAGTTGGTGCACCTGCGGAAAGCGATGTTCCAACACTCGTCTATTGAGTACCTACGTTCTAGCGCTGGTGGTGTTCTCCAGAATCCAGGGGGAGCGGAATTTGTCCGCCGGGCGTCGGGGAGCAGGTTGCACTCGCGGTTGCTAGTTGGTTCGAAGAAGCGGAGAATCGCCTGGCCCGAAAGTCAGGGGTTTATTTTTCTTACGTCCTGGTTGGTTGGTGGTCGATGCATCCTTCTCGTGTTTGGGGCACTGCCTGTCAGAGCCCTGATGAGCACCGCCACAGTTGACACACTTGATAGCCTCAGCACTGTGCCCGACGTTGAGGCAGCGCTGACACTGCGTTACATAGAGGCGGCCACCACGGTAGGACTCTTAATGGATGATGAACTTGAATTGGGAGAGGTTTGCTTGCAACGCATTAAGCGTCACCGTCCCCTTCTTGAAGTGTACCAAGAAAAGGCAATCCGGGTACTTCCTCTTGCTTGCGTTCCTCCTCTTGATCCGGAAGACGGCGATGTGGGGCAGCTTGGACCGGTATTTGATTTCAGCTTCGATCACCTTCGTGTCGAAGTTCGGTAGGTCTCGGATGACTACCTTGTCACCCGGGATCTCGTGTGTGAAAAATTCCATCTTGGAATTCTTCAGAAAACCCACAGCTTTGTTGAAGTTCGCCTTGGTGTGCAGGATGATATTCGTGCCAATCCCGCACAGCTTGTACTAGGCAGCGACGCCGAGGGTTGCCATCTCTTGAGCCAGCTTGTTGAGTGACACTGACTTCACCACCAGAGGTGGGAGTTTTACCATAGACGTAACTCTAAGACTAGTAGGTCCCGAAGAAATGTGCTCAACTTTTTGGCTCAGCTCTGGTACTCTCTTCGGTCCCAAGCTAATCGATGCACCCCTCGAAACATAGGAAAATCCACGAACCCCTCATTTTATCTGTCAAACTTTCATAGAGAATCAAAACAAACATAGTGTAGTACTAGAATTTCAACTAGAATGGGGTACGTTAATCGATTTGCTTGGGACCAATAGGCTAGTCAAGTAGTTAGCCAATTTCAAATCGATAGTTTCGTATTGATTGTGGGTTTTTCTCTCGGTCCGTTCTTACCGCCCGTGGTCGGATCCGCCGAAATCACCGACGTCACTGCCGTTTATTGCTGTCTATGTGGTCTATGATTTGTGTAGGTTTATTTTGATTCTATAGCTTGATATGTCAAAGGCAGAGTTTCTGCATTTTGTGATTATTTTTAGAAATCCTCAGAGAGAGAGAGAGAGATGGGCGGAGTAAACAAAATGCAATTCGGCAGCAGGGTTTTGTATGTCAATTATCTTGCAACCCATGCCAGAAGATAGCGTTTGCCATTAATAAACCAACAAAGATCAATTAATCAAAGCAGTTAGAATATCATTTTTGATTCTAAAAACTAGTTGAATTTGAGAAACAGATGAAAAATAAAGGTGATTGAATTTCTATTCGAATGTAATAGTCACACATTTGATCCAGTAAGAATAGGAAATTCTCGTTAAAATTATAATGGGAATGTCCGATTGGCTCAGAATTTGACAGTTCATTTGGCTCAAAACATTCCCCTCCGCTCATCTCGCCCTCTGAGGATTTCTAATTATTATGTTTAAATCAAAGGAACTTAATAACTTTATATCCGAACACGCTCCTGGTGTCCTAGGGCAGTGATGCAAAATATCACGACACTCACTCGAGAGTCTTCAATGCATCAACTAACCGTTTTGTCACGCAGTGAGAGGTAGAACCATGGCAAGTGAATATCATCAGTGATAGTCTCTGCTCACAGGCAAAATGATCACTGCGACCAGTACTTAGAGCTATTGTGATATATTCCCCGTTTTAATATCCCGCATAAACAATAACCTGCGAAGAAAAATTGTTTTAGCGATTCACGAGTTGCTCACCATCTACAAATCTCAGCTACCTCTATGGTTACTGTCAACCTTATCTGCCATCTTTTTCCACCGCTTCTCCAAATTAGGCTTGATAATTACGCTTGATAATTGTCCAAAATTTTTCGATGGGACGAAAATCTGAGCGCCTAACCACCAATTCGGGATGCATTATCATCCCAACTTTATGTGGGATGGTCGTACCATCTATGATATCGTTAGAGTATGGTACCCACTTATTAGGGATTGCTTTATCAGCATGTCGTATCACCATTTTGTGAGGCGACCGACATAGACTGACCGAGATCATTTTCCCAGTCAGTTGTTGAAGTTGAATAGAATTAAGAATGGTGCATTGAACGGCTACACAACATCACTAACGGCATTCATTTATTTCCAGGTAAAAGAACTGGCCAGTTCCGCAGCTACCAGCACGAATGAAATCCTAAATCACACGAAAAAGTCCCTGGATGACATCACGGACCAGGCGCGGAAGAGCATGGATGAGCTCAGTGCGAAAGCCCAGAAAATCCACGTATAGTAACAAACGTTGCACGGCGTCGCCCAGCACAGGTGCTACCGGTGCTAGTGCGGTTGCTTCCTCGTCGTCGTCTTCTTTTTCTACCACAGCAACACCAACGGCGGCAACGTCGACGACGGCAGCCACATCGGGTACGGCGGCGACTAATTCGAAGGCTGGCCATGGAAGTGGAGAATTCGCTTCCTCCAGTTCATCAACCGGTTTGTTTCGATCGAGTAACAGTACCAGCGCCAGTGCACCAAGATCATCCAAGACTACTACTGCAACTACAACAGCTAAAGAGTTTTATTCTGCAACTAGCACTGACAACACTACAACAAGAAAAGCATCATCATCATCAGCATCACCATCATCATCATCATCACCGTCGTCATCCTCTTCAGCCAGTAGGTCTAGTACAATCCCGCCAACCGCTTCGTCATCCTGATTGTGGGCCAAATTTGCACGAGACGCTGTGCGGTGCAATTTACTGTTAATCGTATAGATTTTCCTCATAAGTACTATTCTGTTATTCGCTTTCGGTTTTCCCTCCATATCCTCTCTTCCTGACTTTTGTTTGGTTTTTTTTCGGTTTCAAAATTAAGATGAAAATTCTTGTCGCTTATTTATTTATTATGATTAGTAAATTCAATTGTACAAATCGACAAACATATGGTCTACACTGAATTCTTCTCTCTAATCCTGCAATCCGGAGTATCGCCTTTATCCCGAAAAACAATATCGGGATGTCGCACGCCTTCGTCGGTTGTCTCCCTTCAAAGCATCTTTTCGCCAACATTGAGGCTCTTTTGCGAATAAAAAAGAAGCCCTGCCGGGAATAGGAATGCACAAACTGACGAAGACGCGCGACACCCTTTAATATAGTTAGCTTTTTATCTAATATACGCGCTCAAAAGAGTTCCCCACCTACCGACCCCGCAGCTTCAAGCGTAATATCTAAGAATACTGTTCCGCGCACCAAGAAACCAATCATTGTGGTCATTCTAATCAGATACAATATTGATCTAAGTTACGAGACACCAGTTTATTAATTTTAGACAGTGCAGCATAAACCGATACGAAAGAGAAATGAGCGAATCAATTAATAACCGACTACCGTGTAAATATCTCTTACCTATTGAATAATTAACCGAAGGTATATTCGTGACGTGATTATTTAGCATTAAATCTAGAAGCTATTAGTATTAGTAGGACATGCGAAGGAAATAGGAAATCAATAGTTGTTCTTCTTTTGCAACCTTGAAGCTTTTTATCCCCCATCCTGGCGCACATAATAGGTGGTTTGTGTGGCATCGAACGAAAGAGATTGACGAGTATGAGACTACACTTTCTCAAATTACACAAACCCACGAACGACAACAGGGAGAGAGGGATTCGGGGGGTTAAGACCTTAGATTCCTTATTCATAATATAGAAGCAGAAAAGCAAGAGGTGGTACCGGTTTACACACATTCCTGTGGAAAGAGGTTAAAAATTGTCTGTGAATTAGCTCAGCCGAATGGAAAATTTTTGTTTTGGGTTTCGATGGTTTCTTTTTCGATTTGTTTTTTGGAAATTGTTTTCGAGGCAGCGAGGATTAGAAAAAAAATACATTTCGCGATCGACATTCTTGAATGGTACGGCTGAGATTGTGAACAAATTGAAGAGAATACGTAGGTAAAAATAAAAAAAAAACAGGAAAGAGAAGCAAAACGTACTCACACACACACACAAACATACATTTTTGTCAGTCAATAACGTTTAAATTGTTGTAATGTTTCAGATGAAGAGAATTTAAAAATATGCGAGCGTGATAGCTTGGTTTTCAAACATCTCCTACATCACTCTGGAAGCATTTAATGGATCCGAAAGCCCCTAGCCAGCAGTGAATATCACATTGGTTGGTTGGCCAGCGACGTCTGTAGTACGACGATACGGGGGCCAGAAGCAACTCCTAAAGGTAAGAAGACAGAAGAAAATATGTATGGGAGTGAATATGATGCATATCAATCAAGGGAGTACAATAGTTATTATTCTACAACTTCGAAATAAAATATAATGGAAGCTACTTAAAAGCCATTTGATTTCCGCAATGGAAAAAAAAACTTAAAATTTGGGTAGCTTTGTTTTTATGTTTGTTTGAGTGTTTAACGACGATTTAATTAAAAGGTGGCTTCGGTTTTTTTGTGAATGCGGACCAGTTGTAAAAGCAGAAAAGCTTCAGATGCTGAATGAGAGAGAAAGTGATAGTTAGCTTTATTTTTCCAAATGCAGTCCAACCTTTTCTGAAGTGGTTCAATACCTTCCTTAAGGAGTTCAAACTTTTCTGTTGAGTGATTGAATTATATTTAATGTTAGTCAGAGCTTTCCTGAACTAACTTTTAACGTAGCTTCCGCTCCCTTAGACCCCTTCCTCGTTCTTGTGAGATTCACATACTTTGAAAATTAGGCAGAGATTTTAAAGAATGGACCTTCGTGTGTTCATACCTGATGGTAGATTTTTTTAAGGAAGCACAATTGTTGAGAAAACTGGGTTTACATCCACAAAAGTACGTATTTTTTATATAGAAATTTGGGTTTCTTGATCAGCCAAGTTGGATTTTGGATCCGTCCTTTGAAAAACAGGCTTGGAAGTTATAGAATAGACGATTGTACGACTTTTCCCCGAAAACCAGTCCCCCGAAAGTTATTTTTCCGAATGTAACTTTTCCAAGAAAAAACATTTCCCCGAATGGAACAGGTCCTCGAAAATAATTTCTCCGAATGTACCATTTTCCCGAATCTGCGAATGTTCGCTGGTTAACTACTTGTATCGAACAATACCACAATAAACGTATTAATGTGTGTCGAATATGGACAATAGTTTGACTTTCGATAAAACAAAATGTAAAGGTCAAACTCCTGAAATGGGTGTAATCGGTGTAATCCTATTTCATGAGCTTTTGACCTTTACTTGTAGTTTTAACGAAAGTCAAACTATTGTCTTTATTCAACATGAGCAATTCTCTACAGATTGACGAATTTTTATTTTTTTTTTTAATTTGTCGGCTCCGATTTTGATGAAAATTTGCACAGTTGTTCTTTTTTAGTAAAGATGCCAATTTGTGTTATCAGTTCTTCAAATTGAATCACGACTACTTTTCTAACAGGGCCTGTGTAAAAATAGTACTAATGAGTTAAAACATATATTTCTGAAACGGTTTGTTGGATTGATTTGGTGTCTTTAGCAAAGTTGTAGATATTATGTTGGCAATAATGTTAAAAATATACACTGTAAAAATTTCATTTGTTCCAATGAAAAAAATTATATTTGTTATTAAAAAAGTTAATTAAGTTAATTTTTACCTTTGAACATTTTCGTTTTAAACCTTATTGAAGCTCATGATGTTTTCTACAAACTGGCAAAGTTTGGTGATGGTTAACTCAAAAACAAAAAAAGTTAGGATTTTTTGAAAATTTCGCGATTTTTACATTTTCATTAAAAATACATGTTTTTCAACAGTGTATATTTTTTAAAGAATCGCATTTTAATTTTGCACAACTTTTGTGAAGACACCATAGCAATCAAGCAAGCCGTTTTTGCAATGTTTTAAAATATTCAGGGCTGTTACAACAGGCACGGATTTCGCGAATTTCGCGGATTTCGCGATTTTCGCGGATTTGTCGCGGATTTGAACTTTCAGTCGCGAAAATCGCGGAAACATTAAATGATGTCGCGAAAATCGCGAAGGAACTGATGTGCTGTCACAAAAATTGTGGAATTCATTGTAACCTTTCCGTCCTGGATTTTTTTGCTGTCATCAATTTTGTTGTTCATTTGGCTCTCATTTTTTTTACCGGTTCAAACCAAACACCCTGCAAATAATCGAGAAATGATCTCAATTCCATAAGTCACACCGGATTTACACGGAAAAATCCCTGGTCTGTCCAACGTGAGACATTTTCATGATTTTTTTTATATTCGTGAGTAATTGTCATGTATACAGGATATTCTAGGTTCTCCAAATCGTCCTGAATTTCAGTTGATTTGTTCTACTATATCAACCAAGACTGCAATAATGTCTGTAGTATCGAAATATGTCCTAATAGATTCAAAGTGTCTATGTGGATCGTGCCCGACCTATTGCTACGTATACAAGATGTTATAGGTTCTGAAATCATTCTGGAGATCAGATTATTTTTCTACTAGCTAACCCAAGACTAATTCAATATCTGTAGTATCGAAATATGTCCAAACAAATTTGCAATGTCTATGTGGACCATGCCAACCTATTTCCGTGTATGCCAAATGTTCTAAGATTTACAAATTGATATTTCGATACTACAGATGTTATCCCAGTCTTTGTTGATCTAGTAAAACAAATCATCTGAACTGCAGGAAGATTTTGAGAATCTAGATCATCTGGTATACGTGGAAATAAATCATACATTTTATCCATATAGACACTATGAATCTGTTTGGACATAAAGGGTGATACGGTCAAAATTTGGTCAATATCAACTTGACGTATTTCTTTCAATTTTGCATTTAAAAAACCTGAACACCCCTCATTTTGAAGGTGTGTGTGTGTAGAATGTTGCTCCTATTTTGATTTTGGAATTCACTCTTCAGTTGTCAAAATGCCGTCCAAGCAAGAAGAGCAGCGTATCAAAATTTTGCTCGCGCATCGCGAAAATCCGAGCTACTCGCACGCAAAGTTGGCAAAATCGCTAAAAGTTGCCAAATCAACCGTTACAAATGTAATTAAAGTGTTTGGGGAACGTTTGTCGACAGCCAGGAAGTCTGGATCGGGGGGAAATCGAAAACCGGAAGCCGCTGAGACGACAAAGAGAGTTGCCGGTAGTTTCAAGCGAAACCCTAACCTCTCTCTCCGAGATGCCGCAAATAAGCTGGGTGTATCGTCTACAACCGTGCATCGAGCCAAAAAACGAGCCGGACTATCGACTTACAAGAAGGTAGTGACTCCAAATCGCGATGATAAACAAAATACGACGGCCAAAGCGCAATCCCGGAGGCTGTACACGACGATGCTGACGAAGTTTGACTGCGTGGTAATGGACGACGAAACCTACGTCAAAGCCGACTACAAGCAGCTTCCGGGACAGGAGTTTTATACGGCAAAAGGAAGGGGAAAGGTAGCAGATGTTTTCAAGCACATGAAACTGTCAAAGTTCGCAAAGAAATATCTGGTTTGGCAAGCCATCTGTACCTGTGGCTTGAAAAGCAGCATTTTCATAGCTTCCGGGACTGTCAACCAAGAAATTTACGTGAAAGAGTGTTTGAATAAACGTCTGCTGCCTTTCCTGAAGAAACACGGTTGTTCCGTACTGTTTTGGCCAGATTTGGCATCTTGCCATTACGGTAAAAAGGCCATGGAGTGGTACGCCGCCAACAACGTGCAGGTGGTTCCCAAGGAGAAGAACCCTCCCAACACGCCAGAGCTCCGCCCAATTGAGAAATACTGGGCTATTGTCAAGCGGAACCTAAAGAAGACCAAAAAAACTGCTAAGGGCGAGCAGCAGTTCAAGGCAAACTGGCTTTCTGCGGCGAAGAAGGTGGACAAGGTGGCTGTACAAAATCTGATGGCAGGGGTCAAGCGTAAGGCCCGGCAATTCGGATTTGGAAAAGCGGAAGCCTAACTGAATATTTTTCCTGAATTTTATACTAATTGAACTTGAAAAAGAAATTTAATTTGATTTTTTAAATAAACGATTTCACCGATTTACACGCGTTTTCCCTTGACCAAATTTTGACCGTATCACCCTTTATTTTGATACTACAGACTTTTTTCCAGTCATGGTTGATCTAGTAGAATAAATCATCTGAACTCCAGAATGATTTAGAGATCCTAAAACATCTAGTATATATAGCAATAGTTATTATTATTATAGTCCATCTGACTTGATAGTCTAAATGAAACACTTAAATCTAAATGTAGTCACTCATTGAAAATTAAAAATTGGCCAACAGCAAACGATGACGAAACCTCGAGGCATTGATGTCAAAGTCAAATAGGTCAGAGGCTTCGTTGAATTGATGAATCATGGCGACAAAGGAACTGTTTGCAGCATAGTTGGTTGCATGTACTACTTCATGTAGCAAGGTTCTCGGACGGAGTGTTCGGGCAGGAGCATATAGATTAATTTTGGCCAGTAACTCAGGAACATCATATTCTGCGAGTAAAACTTTAGCAACGAAGACGACCTGCGATATGTTTCGTCGCTTAGCAAGAGTATCCAAACCCAGTAAACGACAGCGGTCAGCATACGGTGGTAAATTCAGCGGGTCACTCCATGGAAGATAGCGCAGTGCGTATCTGACGAATTTGCGTTGAACAGCTTCGAATCGTCCACTCCATACAGCTTGGTAGGGATTCCAGACAACACACGCGAATTCCAGTAGTGAGCGTACCAATGAACAGTAAAGGGCTTTAAAACACAGAGGATCACGAAATTCCTTAGATATCTTGAACATGAATCCAAGCTGTCGATTAGCTTTGTCGATCGTGGTTGAGAAGTGGCGAGTGTATGTGAGCTTTTCATCCAACATGACACCGAGGTCTTTAACGTGATCGACACGTTGAACTACAGTTCCAGCAACGTTATAATCAAACAAAATGGCAGCAATAGTTCATGCATGATCCACATAGACACTGTGCATCTGTCTGGAAATATTTCGATACTAAAGACATTATTCCAATCTCGGTTGATCTAGTAGATCAAATTATCCGAACTCCAGGACAATTTGAAGAACCTACAACATCTGGATTTCTCGGAAATAGATCATGAAATGATCCACATAGACACTTTGAATCTGATTGGAGATTTTTCGATACTACAGACATTATTGCAGTCTTGGTTGATCTAGTAGAACAAATCAACTGATGTCCTGGACGATTTGGAAAACCTATCATTTCCGGTATACATAGTTATAAGTCGTGCATGATCCTTAAAGTCACATATATACGATTCGGTTATGATTTGACATCGAAAAGGTTCATATTCGAAATAAAAAATATCATGAAAATGTCTCACCATTGGACAGGCCCCAAGGAATATCCGCATTCCGTCTCGCACGCTGAGCCGGTCAAGTCGCATCGGTCTCGTTGTACGACACTAGTTTTTGAGTTTTTGAGTTTTTCCCCACGCGAGGGTTTTTTCTCGCCAAAGTTAGTTGGCATAGTGTTAAGACAACTAGTGCGCGAGTGAGGAAGCCGTTAATCATACGCCGAGCGCTTTGATTACGGTCCAGCTTTAACATCAACATCTGTAAAATCATCACCACAGATCACCACTATCGGCCCATTGATAGCAACAACGAAAGCACGTTAAATTGCCTACCGAGGCGAAAGAGGCATACCAACAGCAAGGCTATCGACCCAACAGCCGTTGGGGAATACAATAGCATCGCACCAGTCATCTGCCGCCTCAGTGCAATAGGTATACCGTGTCGCTTTGTTTTCACCAGTATCGCATCTTCCCGCATGGTCCAGTATTAGATTAGGCTGGGTCATAATTAGGGTGATCCAAAATCTTGTAAATAGTATATATCTATAATTTTTTTTCTTGATTTTTTTTCTCCTACTATTTTTAAGTAGAGTATACCGTTAGGGTGATCCAAATTTTTTTTTTCAGTATATATATATTTTTTTTCTATTTTTTTTTTCTTGGTTTTTTTGTTGTTTCTTTCATATTTCTCTTTAGTAGAGTAAAACCACAGACAAACAGACATAACACATTAAATATTTCTCACTGTAAAACATCGTCGCTAAAACATTACCGCCATCTGTTGAGTTCACTGTAGTGGGCACTACACTGAACAGATGGCGGTAGTGTATAAACGTCAAACGCAAGGGAATTGACTATGCGCGCCACAGGTGACGGTACTACCAACTACGATACTTTTAAATTGTCCGTTAAATGCTTGTTCGATGAACAAGTTGCGAGTGTTATGTCTGTTTGTCTGTGGTAAAACTATATCAATTTTTTTTTTGTTTATTTTTGCATTTTTGTTTTTCTATTTTTGATATTATTTGAAATTACTGTAATTATTTGTAAAATATTTACCAAAAACACCATTGCGGCGATATTTAACCGCAATGGATGAAAATGATAAAGGCGGGGGATGGTCGCTTTCCATCTCAGACGACGAAACTCTTAATTCCACCTCACACGAAAGTCTCGAGGAAGTTGTGGAAATGGAAACCCTTGACGTTCCAGTTGACTCGCTCTCCAGCAAAAATACTGGAGCATATCCCAAGAAAAGATATCGCCCACAACCCTCTCCCCCACCATCTCCTCCTTGTCCACCTGCACCCCCCACACCATTGCCCCCGAAAACCTCTGCGCTCCCCCGCCTAAAGGCTTACCCAGAAGCCTCGAAAGGCCCATGGGTTGTTTTTTTCCGGCCCAAACAAAAACCTTTGAACATTCCGAGGATCTCTAAGGATCTAACAACACATTTTTCGGCCGTTACCGATATTTTCAAGGTAACACCAATAAAACTGCGCGTTACCGTTGATGACCGGAAGCAGGCTAACCAAATTGTTGCGTGCGAGCTTTTTTCATTGGAATACCGAGTCTACATACCCAGTAGTGAGGTAGAAATTGAAGGAGTGGTCACCGAAGCGAGTTTGACAAGTGATGATTTCTTGGGTCCCGATTCCTTCGGAATCTTTAAAAACCGTGCCCTGCCGAAGGTGAAGATATTGGACTGCCTTCAAATGCAGTCAGTATCCGTAGTAGGCTCCAAAAAAACGTATTCCTTGTCAAACTCGTTTCGTGTGACCTTTTCGGGTTCAGCGTTACCTCACTACGTCGCTATTGGCAAGGTTCGGCTGCCTGTACGTCTGTTTGTACCTCGGGTAATGAACTGCTCGAAATGTAAACAACTTGGTCATACATCGGACTACTGCTCGAACAAACCACGCTGCGATCAGTGTGGCGAGCAACATCAAGAGGGCCCTTGCGGTGCTCCTCCAAAATGCGTGTACTGCAAGGAAAGCCTACATACCCTGACTGACTGCCCGAGGTATAAACAGCAGGGAGAAAAACTTAAGCGGTCTCTGCAAGCTCGCTCCAAGAGAACTCTAGCAGAACTCTTGAAGAATACCGCTTCATCTTCTCAGACCTCACCAAAAAGCAGTAACACGTTCTCCATTTTGCCAGTTGATGATCTAGACTCTGACTCAGAGGTCGGTGAGGATAGTCCGTTTGTCTTTAAAGGCAATACGAGAAAACGAGCAAAAAACACACCACCGAAAAGCCTCGTAAGGCCACTCGTACGGACCACCCTTCCACCTTGGAAAAATCAAGAGGTAACGGAAATTCACCGAAACCCATTCCACCGGGTTATAAACCTTGTAATTATGACAAGAACTTTCCGTCACTTCCAGGATCATCTAAAACCCCAGATGTTCCAGTTTTTCGGCCAGAAAATCAGCTGAATAATCAGCAAGAACATGCTCCCATGTCCACGTTTTCTGGTATTGTGGATAGCTTCTTCAGTATATTCAATGTCTCTGACTCAACAATGGAAATGGAGGTTGCCCTGTAACATGGGTAGATCACCTTTTCGTGGTACGTTACGGGATGTAAGATCTACCACCGATTCCTAGTC